GGTTAATTTCTCCAGCTTCAGCCCGAACTTGCTCACAGACATCTGCCTGAAGTTTGGCTACGTGTTTCAAAGCACTAACCTCCGTACACAATTGCTCCATCCGCCGCAGCAAACAGCATACATCCAGGCTGGAGAATGTAACAGGTGGTAAATCCTCCAAGTGATGGGATACAAATCTAGGGATATTTTCCCCACACTCATTCAGCACTTTAAGGCAGAGCTTGATATTATTGGCGTCTTTGTGCTGCCCTTTATATCCGACGCACCGCTGTGAAGTACTCGGGCAGAGCTCAAACAGAACTTTTTTTGAAGCTTCAATCCCCTCAGATTCAAATGTGTTCGTGGCCAACAACACAATTTCATCCTGGCTCAAGGTTTTAATTTTAACTGCAAGGAAATTAAGAAGTTCATCCTCCACAATCACCTTGCCATCTGTCGTCCTATACACCTCTGGTTTTAGTCGAGATAGTTTAGGAACTGGACCAGGAGCTGATGCCTCGCTGCCTGCTACGTCCGCCATCATCATCATGTCTGCTAATGCCCTTAAAATAGAGCTGAAGGGGCGAACATGGTTCAGCAGTGGAGTCGTGGTCTTGGAAAGAGAAAAATGCAGTATAGAGGATTTTATATTATTAATTTCCACAAACTGTTGTCGGTTCGTCAAATAATTTCGGACCCACTCATGTGCTACTCCTCTAATCCCGTATTTGTATAATTTATCTAATAATATTACATGATCCAGCGTATCAAACGCTTTTTGTAAATCTACAAAAACACTCACCAAATATTGTTTAATATCTATTGCTATTGAAATCTCTTCTAAGTCAGTTATTGCTGTTACAGTTGAATGATTAGAACAAAAACCATATTGACTATTATGCAAAACACTATGCCTATTTATAAACTTTTCCAATCTTAAAGGGGCATTATGGAAGTGTGACAGCCAAAACATGTACAGGTGCTGGCCAGTAAATTAGAATATCATCAAAAGGTTGAAAATATTTCAGTAATTCCATTCAAAACGTGAAACTTGTACATTATATTCATGCAATGCACACAGACCAATGTATTTCCAATGTTCATTACATTTAAATTTGATATTCATAAGTGACAACTAATGAAAACTCCAAATTTGGTATCTCAAAAAATTAGAATATTCTGAAAAGGCTGAATATAGAAGACACCTGCTGCCACTCTAATCAGCTGATTTACTCAAAACACCTGCAAAGGCCTTTAAAAGGTCCCTCAGTCTTGTTTTGAAGGCACCACAATCATGGGGAAGACTTCTGACTTAACAGCTGTCCAAAAGACAATCATTGACACCTTGCACAAGGAGGGCAAGACACAAAAGGTGATTGCTAAAGAAGCTGGCTGTTCGCAGAGCTCTGTGTCCAAGCACATTAACAGACAGGCGAAGGGACGGAAAAAATGTGGTAGAAAAAAGTGTACAAGCTCTAGGGATAACCGCACCCTGCAGAGAATTGTGACGACAAACCCATTCAAAAATGTGGGGGAGATCCACAAAGAGTGGACTGCAGCTGGAGTCAGCGCTTCAAGAACCACCACGAGGAGACTCATGAAAGACATGGGATTCAGGTGTCGCATTCCGTGTGTCAAGCCACTCTTGAACAAGAAACAGCGCAAGAAGCGTCTCGCCTGGGCCAAGGAAAAAAAGGACTGGACTGATGCTGAGTGGTCCAAAGTTATGTTTTCTGATGAAAGCAAGTTCTGCATTTCCTTTGGAAATCAAGGACCCAGAGTCTGGAGGAAGAGCGGAGAAGCACAGAATCCACGTTGCATGAGGTCCAGTGTAAAGTTTCCACCGTCAGTGATGGTGTGGGGTGCCATGTCATCTGCCAGTGTTGGCCCACTCTGTTTCCTGAGGTCCAGGGTCAATGCAGCCGTCTACCAGGAAGTTTTAGAGCACTTCATGCTTCCTGCTGCTGACCAACTTTATGGGGATGCAGACTTCACCTTTCAACAGGACTTGGCACCTGCACACAGTGCCAAAACCACCAGCACCTGGTTCAAGGACCATGGTATCCCTGTCCTTGATTGGCCAGCAAACTTGCCTGACCTTAACCCCATAGAAAATCTATGGGGTATTGTGAAGCGGAGGATGCAATACGCTAGACCCAACAATGCAGAGGAGCTGAAGACGACTATCAGAGCAACCTGGGCTCTCATAACACCTGAGCAGTGCCACAGACTGATCGAGTCCATGCCACGCCGCATTACTGCAGTTATTGAGGCAAAAGGAGCCCCGACTAAGTATTGAGTGCTATACATGCACATTCTTTTCATGTTCATTCTTTTCAGTTGGCCAACATTAGAGAAACAAACATTTTTTCATTGGCCTTTAGAATATTCTAATTTTCTCAGATACCAGATTTGATGTTTTCATTGGTTGTCACCTATGAATATCAAAATTAAACGTAATAAACATCGGAAATACATTGGTCTGTGTGCATTGCATGAATATAATGTACAAGTTTCACGTTTTGAATGGAATTACTGAAATATTTTCAACCTTTTGATGATATTCTAATTTACTGGCCAGCACCTGTATAGAAATAATAAATGTCTTCTTCATACATTCTCCTGCAATGCCCTGGTCCTGTAGAATGAGCCCTGGCATTTTTACTGTGATTGCCTGTTTTTCTGTAAAATCACAGAAAAAGAGAGATGCTCGGGTCGAGCAGGCTGCTTCATGCGCGTTCACGCTCAGGCATAGCCCGTAGCATTTGCTATCTGTAGCTTTAGCAGCAGAGAGAGAGACAGTGCCACTTTGTCGCTGTTCCTAACGCCTAGTGACAAAGCTAGCTACATTTCTGAGGACCCTTAGCTACTTTCTGTAGAACTTTCTTCTAGAAATTTCCTGCAAATTAGCAACAAAATAGCCATTTTCGCTCCGAACCGTTCTTTGGTTTGATGTTGTTTCAGCTGTCATCAAGGATATAAATGTTACAGAGGGACCTTGTTAAAAAGAGTTACAGAGGACATAAATGGCGCTTAAGCTCACCTAGTAAGATGTTGGACTCTCGTGCAGAAGACCTGGGTTTGATTCTGGGTGTGAACATAGTTGATTTAGAGTTTCTTTTTTACATTAATGGTATATTTTTTTACAGTAAGATGCCCAAATTTTTTTCTGAGACTCGCCGAACGGCGTTGAATTCACAGATAAAAAAGATGTGGGTTCAACTTTCATTTTGGAACAATTTTTCAAGCAAGGGAAGGGAATGATCTGAGCATGCAGGAGGACTGACCCATCATAAACCTTTGTCAGCTGTGCTAAAGAGAAAGGTACAGAACCAAATTATTTAATTAATTAGCTGCGCGTTCTCCTGTCCTCCGGGCCACACACACACACACACACACACACAGGACCGTCTCAGCTGTTATTTTCGTTAAGGAGTGTGCACGTACAGCATGCGCGCCTCGTGCACGAGCCTACTATTGAAGCTGCCGTTACACTTTTGGCCTGAGGGGGCAATCGCGAGCATAAAAATTCAAACAGTCCGTAAAGTCCCTTTAACAACAAATAATTTTTCCAAAATGTTTGGAAACTGTTTTAGATCATGAACACAGCTGATTTGTTTAATTTAGTGATGACTCACTCTTGTAGACAATAATGAAGGCTTGAGCGACGTTAGATTAAGCTGTTAAAAAGACGAATGCACAGCGAGGAGATAGGTTTTGCTTTCAGTTCTACAAACGGACACTAGGGGGTGCTGAAAGCAAGCCAAAACGGCCTAGTTCCCCATTAAATTATTTTTATGCTTACACCCCGTTTCCAGAATGCCGAGAAAAACCTTTGTGCCACAGCCAGGTTCTCTTACCAAAGACTAACACGTCTCATTCATTTTTAAAGCTCTTTTCCTGGGTTTTATTTGCACTATTAAGCCCAGACTCCCAACTACGAAGCCATTCTGTCTCAGTTTGATTGGTCTCGCTAACAAAAAATATTTATCATATCCAGTCATAACTGTAGACATAATAAAGGCCAATGTCAAAACCACTTAGAAATTCAAAATAATGTCAACTCACCATTCAAAGCGTATTGTTGACTCAAACAAAGAACAGCCTTTTAACTTCCATCGTGGTCCAGTAAAAGTTGTCCAGTAAAATGGTCCACAGCACGTCTTACATCCACAATCCAACATAGTAACTGTTGAAAACATTCAGAATTTCCTTCAAATGTTTCTTTCTCAGAGTTTTAATTGCGGCCTTTGTTAGCATCATCATATTAGCCTCTGCTGTTGGCTGACAGGTCAAAGGTACCACCCCCTACTCTCGTGGTTGTAGCTCACACCATTTGAGGTGCAATATTTTGTTGATTGATGCAATAAATAGCCGATGACGTTCAAAGAACTACGAAGTCTGCTTCTGCAGGTTGAGTAAAGCCTCCTTTCCATCGGACGTGAGCGCGCAGCAAAAACGTGGCAGTTAGCTGCCGTTAACGTGGTCGAGTTCCTTTTCACCAACAGCAAAGGGGCGACATCATTACGTTTCGAGTCTATTTTCTTAATCGCTACGATTCCAAAACGCGTCTAAATGTGCAATTTAGATAGAGCCAGACAGGAAGTCAAACACGAAAGCAGTGTGAAACATCCGGAAACTTTCAAAATACGTTAGGTGCAGGTAAACATACATCATTTCCTGTTACTTGGAACCCCCGTAGCTGATGTATACACAACAGAAATGAAACCACAGAGCTTTTTGGATACATGCAGCTGTCTTTCTCTCAGATTTTTACTGTGTGGGCTTCTGAAATCACACGTGGTGTTGCAATTCTCTCGTGATTTAGTGACTTTGCGGGACCTGCCGTTTGGAACGCTGATTTCACGTCCGGTGGAAATGAGGGGTAAGGATGACTGAGGGGTAGTTGCGTGTCAGGCCCACAAAACGTCACCCGTGGTTGTATTATTACTGTGTTCTCCCTTCGTAAGGGTCAGCGCTAACTGTTGTCTCCGCTCACTCTGTCCTTTGTGTGTCCGCAGGTTGTCCTGGAGACCGAAATCACCAACAAATCGGCCCTGAAGCTGTATGAGAACTTGGGTTTCGTCAGAGACAAGCGGCTGTTCAGATATTACCTGAACGGAGTGGACGCGCTGCGGCTCAAACTGTGGCTCCGCTAGCGGCAGGCACACCGGACCGGTGGGGAGGGTGGGACGGGACTGCAGGTGCTGCTCACCTCTAACGCTATAAGCTCCGCCCTGGTCACTTTGCTCCTACACACATACACACACACACACACACACACTCGTTTTCTTCACCTCAGAACAACTGCTTAGGCAAACAAATACTAGACTGAAATGCCAACGAGACTTTTTTTTTTTTTTTAATAAAGCTGAATTTTGTGACGAGGACGAGCGTCTCCGGGGCGCTGAAACACGAGGACAATGACCATCCCGCAGTAATCCGGACAGGAAACGACTCGCAGGACGCAAACGGGAAGGGAAAAATATGTCAACTTTATTTTTGGGTTTCCTTTTTTAACCTCGCCTGTTTGGGGAGGAGGTTGAAGCTTAGAGGATGTAACGCTTTGTGATCTTTTATTTTGTTATTTTCTTTGCGCGTTTGCTTTTAATTGACTTTTCTTTGGGGTGTTCCCGTTTTCCTGCTGTCGTTCCCGGGACTGAGGCCTGTGAACACATCCTTGTTTTTATTCCCACATAAGAGCAGGTGGAAAAGTCTACCTACCAAGTCCTCGGTCATTGCACCAGTCCACTCCATAACGGCCTCCTTGGTGTCATTTTAGTGGTTTAGGAATATCGTTTCTCCTCTAATTCACTGCCAGCCTTTCAAAAAGTTTCCAGAAATTCCCGTGTTTAAAAAAAAAAAAAAAGAGACTCCTTGCCAACAGAGGTGCCGTCAAAAACGTCTGGTAGTTTACTGGTTGCTAGTCTGAATCCCGTCCATTCTAAAGTGCCACTCGATCCCAGCGGGCGCTGCTTCCTGTTAGTCCGCCTCCTGGAAAACCTGCAGATGCCGGAGTCCCGTGTGCTGTGTCTTCATGTGGAACTAAACTAGATGAGATTTTTTAGCAGATTATATTTTATGCTTTCGTTTGCTTTCGGTTTAGGAACATTTTGGCGAGAACGTTGAGCGTTGTTCCAATACACACTAATTGGCCGATAAGTAATCGCCTTTAGACGAACAAGGTCAGACGCACCTCTCTGACATCTGCTGCACGTGTGAGTGTGTGTGTGCGTGCACCATCTCTAGGTGGAGCTCCGATTTCCAAAGCGTCGGTTGTGTTTTATTTTGTTTCCAGAACGAACAAAAGCATCCACACACACCTTTAATGACTCAAGAGGATGATTTAAATCCCGGGTTGTCGTGTAATTTCAGCCTCGTTATCTTCCAAGTTATCTAGCCGGATGTTTTTTTTTTTTGTGTGTGTGTGTCGACAGTATTCCGACAACGGTGCAAAACTCCGAACAAACCTTCATGGTGCGTTTTAGCTGAATGACACTACACGCTTTCGGGGTTTATTCGGCCGATCTGCCGCCACATCGATGGGGGTTTGTGTGTTTGCAGCAACAGATCAGATCACTTATTTTACCTTTTGTCAGATTTGTATAAAAGTGTTCTATTCATGGAATGTTTTGAGTGTTTTTTTTCTCCCCCCTCATTGTTCTGGTTTGAGGCCGACTTGTTTGTTTTTCAGTTTCTGTGCTACTTTAACTCACCCAGAGGTGTGATGTGAAGATTTCAAAAACAATCTGAACACCTTAGAGATCTAATAGCTGCTCATCTGAAACAGTTCACACTGTTGGCGGGTTTTAAATCCACTGTTTCCTTTGATCTTTTTCACTGATGAAGTCAAACCAGAGACTGTTTTATCCGACTTTGGGATCCCTCTGAATCAGCTGTCTGCAGGAGCAGCTTATTTTATGTCTTTACACCCATCTTCAAGGTGGGTTCTTGTGTAAAAGTTTCTAACAGTGACCATCTTTTCCTGTTTTGGCACGATTGATGAGCTAACGGCTAGTCGAAGCGCTGCCAGGATCAAAGCAGATTTCTGCCACCATAGAAGGGCTTCAGCAGCTAATGCAAATGTTGTTTTATAAACATTCACATGGATATTTTGGCAGAAATGTTTAGAAATTCTACCTGGGCCTGTTAAGTTATGAGAAATGCCTTCAGACTAGCAGTTAGCTCATCAGTCTATCAGGGATGAGCTATAACCTTTAGACAGACGAGCTTCAGAATGGCTAAAAGCATTTTTTTTTTCCACCTCAGACTTAACTTTGTGGAATTTATGAATCTTTACGGGCGTTGCAGCCGAGTTATAATCCAGATTACAGATTGAAGGGTTCCATCGTTAGTGTTTAGCCATAACTCCCCAGCGGTTTGAGTCCGTTTGGGCCTGACCGCAAGGGCAGTTCTGTTTTAAATCCCCCCCAGAAAACGGCTCGTCACTCAGATTTCTTTTCTTTTTTTTTACCAACAACACGACCGACCACACGGGGCTTCCTGCTGGCTTTGTGATTCGGCCGGCGCCGCCTCCACCGAGAACCTCAAGGCAGGAAAAGGGGGCGAAATGTTGAGTTTTGCATGTTTGTTATCTCTGTTCCTCTTCTACACCCCCGCTGTCTTGTCCTTTTTCTTTAATCTGGAAATGCTTTTATTTAACGTGGGGAAAAGAAACACAGAAATAAATTATTTGAATTTTTTTAATGCTGTAAAACTGTTTTGTCTGTGTTGTGTTTTAAAAACACACCAATGCTGGATTTAAAGGAAATTCCCAATCGGACATGTAGAAGATCTTTTTATTTGACTGCAGCCTGTTTGGTTTTCACAGGAAGAGACCGACAACATCCACTGTTTTACATCACACATAATAAATGCTGTATTGTTGCTTATTTACAGGCATTTATGCAGGAAACGTGTCTGACAGCGAGAGAAAAGGTGACAACATTGTAGGTGATCTTTTTTCCCAACAGATGCCTTTAAATCACATCCTTGTTTATAATTGTTTTATTGCTTCTATTCTGTTTGTTTCAACAGGAAAAGGAAATTGAATCATTTATTTAATTAAAACATGATTGCATAAAACATAATTACATTTAGAGCTGAACTTTGTACAGAACTAGTTTCTACAAACCGATCTTTTCATGAATTCTGCTGTATTGTCCCTGGTGAGTGTAAAAGCGTGAAACGAGTACTTCACTTCAAAAATCCAAATTTAAATCCTGCTTTTTAGAAAACAAACTAAAGGAGCCATTCTGTACATTAGAGTGCTTTATGCAACATCTTTTTAAAAAAATTATAAATATTTGTGCTATCAACTTCTATTAGTATTTCCACAACTCTGTTAAATCAAGCATCGGCTCTTTGGGTTTTAAAAAAGTATATTACATCACATCAAATTAATTCACACTGATAATCAAATAAAAGCACATTACAGAGAAATTAACTCAAATTAACTAGTTAGGTTCAATGAAATAATTCAGTCATTTTGAGTTTATGTTTAGAGAACTTGTTCAGATGGAGAGAAAAAAATAAACCTGGACTCTGATTTTGTTGCATTATGCAGAAACCTGCAGAACCAGAATGAAAAGTATTTAGTCTTAAAATCTCTATTTTAGAAATAAAAAGTAAACCTGGTAATGGGACCAGCTAATACCACACTGTAAACCCGAATAAGTTCCCAGAACTCAAAGACTTTGAGGCAATCAATTGCCTCAATTTTTTTGAGTTTTGATACTGAAAATTTTAAGTTTTCAAAAATTAAATTTCTTAATAAAATTTACTCATACATTTGAAGTTTATTAAATTAAAATTGCTCATCCAATCAACTCAAAATATTTTAGTTACCACACTAAACCAAAAAAGTTCCCACAACTCAAAATTTTTGAGGTGATCAATTGCCTCAAAAATTTTGAGTTGCAAAACAAAATATTCTACGTCTTTAGAAATTAAATTTAATAAATTCTACTCATAAACCTTGAGTTAGATTAAATTAAAATTTGCTATCCATTCAACTCAAAATATCAAGTATTTTTATTAACCTTTGATTTTTTTCCTTTGTGGCAAATTACCTTCAAACTTCTACAACAAAAGTATTGTTAAAGGTTTAGTGATAAGTAAAGCTATTTACACACATATTTATACATATGTGATTAGATTGTTTTATACATTCCATCATTAATGACTTGAGCCTTTTTGTGGTGATCAGTGTGGATGTGAGCAGCTCTTCTAAGTGCTTTTGTTCAACTTCAATATCTGTTTAATCTTTGTTTTCTTTGTAAAATTCAGTTCGATATAGAAGTGATGTCAGGATGTATTTCCTACTTTTCAAATGATTTAGATCTGAACTACACCTGTAGCCAAAAGTTTTGAGGATGGTTTAACGTAGCCTTTAGCTTTAGCAATGTCAAAAACATCCAGCAAGCGGAACAGTCTCCTAGATGTGATCCAGCTCTGGGATTGGCATATCGCTGGTTTGTGAGAGTGAGTACATCTGCTGACCTTTGGAGGATGTTCTGGTGTGAAGATATCACTTCAATAATATCAGGGACAGACTGATGTGTCCAGAGCCAAGGAGAGTTGTCCATCTGATGGATCACCTTTTTGTCTTTTTTGAGACAACAAGGTCCAGGGTGTCCCCATCTGTAACACTGGGACTGCACTACCTCACTGTGTTATCAACAGTGAATCATCCTGCAACTATTCGTGGTGCCAAACCAAGGTGGTGAACTGCCTCTTTCCCATTAGCATCGGCTCCGCATGGTCTGGATAGCATAGAGAGTTTCTAGCACAGCCTGCCTTTTTTCAGGGTACAACCGGACTGTTTTTCAGCCCTCTTCCTGAGATGGTCTGCTTCAGGCTGACCAGGGCCAACACACCCACTGCTGACTGATAAACCGGCTCAAATCCACACCTTCCATTAGGGGAAGCCTCCGATTCGTGGGAAGAATCAGCCCACCTGGGCTTGCGGCATAATCATGCTGATTACCTAGGAGCAAAGATGCGTGGAATCAACCGGGCCAGGCTTTGGCTGACTGGGACTATTCAGGCGGTGTGGAGCCGATGCTAGTGTGAAAGGGGCATGAGTTCACCACCTTGGTTTGGCACCATGAATAGTTGCGTTACTGTTGACATAATGCATGACTGATAGTAGCGCTCACCTTTTCCTCATTCATCCATTAGTTTTGCCTCATAACAGAGAAAAACATGGTGCCTAAACGTCCTCCCAGAGGAACTCCTCCCAACATCCCAACTAAATGACTTCAACAGTGTCAAAAAGTTTAAGTGATAAGTTAGTGACGCAAAAAAATTAACATTTTTGGTTGATGTCCAGGAAAATCCCTAGACTCACTGTGGTCCTGCAGAAGCAACCTCTCGCATTGATGATAAACAATGGGCTGCCATCCGTCAGGACCGTGTGGATTAGCAGTGTGGTGATGCTGGAGCAGAGGGACCAACGCTGTAAATGTTGAGTCTTTGCATCATTTTTTTTAAACACAACTGTAAATAAAACCCGTTGCACCATTGGCAACCGTTTGCCATAGATTTTGATATGGGGAGCGGGGTGAATTTCTGATTATTGTCTTAATATTTGGCTCATTGCATTTAAAGGCGTGAGTTATGTGGCTGGGTTAGTTCTGGTCACAGATATAGCTAGTTAAATGGACCTGCCTCACGTAGCACATGAACACATCAAACACCAGTTTTTAGAAACCATCGGCTGCTTTGGTCTGAGGCCAACAAGACAATAATCATAACCATGCAAAAGCAGTTGAGAAATCGTTTAAAATAAAAAGAAATATTGTCTGAAAAGATGTTTTCCCTCTTTTCTTTCTCTGCTTGGCCCGTTACAGCCTTTAGAATCCAGTTCTTTAAATAAGAGTCAGCATAACGAAGCATTCAGCGTCAGGTTTGCCTTGCTGATCTGCGTCAGGCTTCTGATTACTGGACTGACGTGACAACATTTAGAAGAGCTCTGGATTGTTTCCTACGTAGGAATAAAAGCCGACCCGTGTGCCGCCACAGTCCCAACCTGTAAGTCAGGTGAACCCAACCAGAACAATGCGATTAGGACGATTGTAAAGCGACGAGGCTTCTGCCGACGACCACAAACAAAAAGAAGCATGGACGTTGTGGGGTCGTGACCTCAGAATTCATCTTCGGAGCTGTCGGCGAGCAGCATGGCTTGATCCTGACAGCTGGCGCTGGGCTCTCGGGGTTCCTGCTAAAGGAGACATACAGTTACTTTTGTTTTAGAACCATGAAATAGGACTGGTCCAAATCATTGACCTCTGGTTGTCTGGTCTTCCGCCGCTGATGTTTGAAGCTGTTCCTCCTTTTACGGTGGATCATTCTGATGCTGTAGAGGGCTCCGACAATGAGCAGGGCCCCTGTGATGCTAACGCCCACTGGGGCCAGCATCCCAGACACGTAACCAGCCTGTCGGATTTGAAGACAGAATAAAGCAGGGGCTGAATCAAGCATGTGAAAACAAGACAACAGGGGGCAGTCTCACCTTCTCTCTGATCAGCTCCAGCCAGCTACGCACTGCAAGAAAAGAGACTTGAGTTTAGAAAAGCAACTCATTTTAGCTCCGGCTTGTCGCTGCACTGATGTGTTCCTTTTTTTTGGCCCGTACTCAATCCTTGGTTCCGCTGAACCCAGACAGGAGGTGGAGGGATGAGACTGTACGGCGGCTGTGTCGAGGACGTCTTAGGTGTCTCTGTCAGGTCGTCCTCGCTCTCCTCCTCCACCGATTCCTCAGAGTTCTCCTCGTCATCGTCCTCATCAGGCTCCTCTGTAGACAGCAGGGAAGACACCATGAGATGCCCATTCCAGGACCGGACCGGAGGTTGATCACACAGGAGAAGACGAGGAATGCTTTGCCATCTTACCCTCAGAATCCATCTCATCCAGCCCTGATCTGGATTTGTGCAGGAGCTGGTGGGTTGCCATGGTTACAGTCGTCATAGCGTGCTGGAGGGATGAGAGGGAGGGGCCGGCCGAGGGCACATTCTCTCCAAAGTTGGATGATCGTACAACGGCTGGCAGCGGGGGTTGACACATTTACGTTTTTATGATGTAAAATCTGATCATTTTTAAGAAAAGCCTTTAAAACGTCTACATTTCTGAATAAATGCGACAATTTTTCGGCAACCATAAGACCTTTGTGTTACTGCAAAACTATTGATCAGTGAGTCTTCACATGATGTGAGATTATTTGTTGTAAATTATCTGAATTGATGTAGAAGTGAGTGGTGCATCATCCCGACCTCTCCCTCTCACCTTTCTCTGGACGACCCTCTGGTTCTGGTTCGGCCCGCCGCTGTGCAGTAGTAGGACCCAAGGAGCTGACTGGCTCCAGGAGCTCAGAGCCAGATGTCTGCCAAGGTGAGGTCCAGTCTGGTGGAGGGGCGGGTGGGCCTTGTGAGGGCCCGTCGCTGTCAGTCTCCTGTCTGACCAGCTGGTCCAGCTGCCTGGTCGCCATGGCAGCAGGAGACTGAGAGCTGCCTGGCACGGGGACAGCCGCCACCACCGCCTCTGATGTCACGTCTTCAAAAGGCTCAAAGATGAGAGAAAGAGCCTCGGATGACATCGTCACCTCTGTGGCTTCTTCCTGAGACTGCGGCGCGGCAGTGTCGGCTGGAGTTTGTGTCAACATGAGCACAGAGACACGAGGAGAGTCGTCACAAGTAAAAAGATAATTCATTTAAAAAGTGATCATGAGATTCAGTGACACCCCCAATAGCTACAAACATTCTCCTAATTATAGAGGAATTCTCTGATGGCTTAAATTCATAATAATACATTTTATTTAAAAGCGCCTATCAGAACACCCAAGGTCACTTGACAGAAAACACGTAATAAAATACAATAAAACAACAATAAAACCCAAACAAGAAAAAACAAAGAGAGAAACAGTTCAATAAAATCAGAGGTTGTAGGCAGATTTAAACATGTGTATTTTGAGTTTGGTTTTGAAAAGGGTAAAACTGTCGATGTTCCTGATGTCTGGGGGGAGTGAGTTCCAGAGACGAGGAGCAGAGTGGCTGAAAGCTCTGCTCCCCATGGTAGTGAGACGGGCAGAAGGAACCGCAAGATGGATGGAAGAAGAAGATCTGAGTGAACGGGATGGGGTGTGAATACTTATAAGGTCTGAGATATATGGAGGAGAGAGGTTATGGATGGCTTTGAAGGTATGGAGGAGAATTTTGAAGATGGACCTGAATTTAACTGGGAGCCAGTGAAGCTGCTGGAGAACCGGGGTGATGTGGTGAAAGGAAGGGGTTCTGGTGATAATACGGGCTGCTGAATTCTGGACCAGTTGCAGTTTATGAAGGAGTTTGTTGGGGAGACCATAAAGAAGTGAATTGCAATAGTCGAGATGGGAGGTGACGAGGCTGTGGACGAGAATGGCGGCAGTGTGAGGGGTAAGGGAGGGGCGGAGACGGTTTATGGAACGTAGATGGAAGTATGCTGACCGAATTGAGTTATTAATGTGAGCTGTTGAGGATGACACCCAGACTCTGGACCTGAGGGGAGGGGGAGACTATGGTGCTGTCAATAGTTAAAGAAAAGCTGTTACTATGTTTATGTAACGGAATGAAATGACTGTTTTCCACCAAAAGTCATTTTCCCCTCTCCTCTGACAAAGCACTGGTCTGCATGAGATATGACCTCAAGGTTTCATGCATTTGTTATAAACTGCTTCTTTCCAGCTCATTAGAAGAATGAAGAATGGACTCTCTCCTTTTAATAAATCAAAGAACTCTATTTTAATAAGCTAATCAAACAAGTGTTGGTCAATAATAAGGTGACCAATCTGTGAAATCAAAATATTAATTACTTTATTATAATCCTACAGAATATAACAAGTAATATGACTTTAATTGTTTCCACTAGGACTGATCTCACGTAGCGTTAAGAGACATGACACATTGCTTTTACTGATCCAATCAGAATCTGCTAGATCTGACGGAGGCGTGGTTTTGGTGGTGCTTGGTAAATCTGTCATCTTTTCATTCGACCATAAACCAAAACATCCGAAGTATAAAACTATGCCCACGTCATCTTTAACGCCAGTTCAAAGCGTTCTAGAGAAGTTGTCGGAGTGGCCAATCCGTAACTTTCCTCTTCAACCGAAAAAACCAACGACAAGCTGGATAAAATCTGTTGCTGTTCCACCTGCTGCAACGGTTCCTTTCAGAATAAAAGCTGAATCATCACGACCAGGTTTGGGTCTCGCTAGATGCCAACAAAACCATCGTGACCCGGAAGTATCTCAAGAAGGGTGGTCGGCAACCGCTGCTTTTCCTACCGGCTTCGGTTCCAGAGAGGGTCCAGCTGGACCTCGACATTCCTGATCTAACGGGGACTTCCAAAAGGGTACGTAGGCCGACAGGATGGCGTCGAATGTGTTTATGAATCTCCTAACCAAAGCTTAACGTGAATACATCACCTTCACCTCCCACCAGAACTAATCGTTTCTTCGGATTTGCTGGTTCTGAGCAACATTCCACACTACATCATTCTCCGTCTCATCCACCTTAGTTACACCATACATTTAGTGTTAAAGTTAGTCTAATTTTAATTTGCTTAGTAATAAATCTTTAAACTTTTAAAACTCGACTCTCTCTCTTCTGTTGTCTCTGAGTGAATACAAAGCTGTTATCTAATCCCTGCAATAAAAAGTTCCAATCTTCTGGTTAAACAGTACCCACAGATCCATAAAGTTGATTTCATATTTGCTTTGGAATCTTATGTCTTATGTAAATTATCTCATTACCTTTACCACCAGGAATAATCTGATGTCATAAAGCAGAGTTACACAGAGTTCCTCATGCAGATTTTAATTATTCTGCTGAATCCAGATCACAGTGGAACTACGATTTTTACAAAGAAATTTAGCTTTTCTATCATGTCAGAGTTTTTAACTAAAACGAAAGCAGGATTGAAATGACTTTCAGCTGCGACAGCACCAAATGTTGGCCAAAGTAAAATTTTTGAGTATTAGATTTAGTCGTTTGCCATTTCTTTTTATTCAGTTGGCTGCGACCATCTTGACTTGTGCTGATCGCTTAAGGGAATCAGTTGTGAATGTAAATACAGTGAAAGATTCCTGAGTTTCATTGAAATCCATCTAGAAGTTAAGGAGATCCTTTGCATATGAAATAGAAATAATGAGTTTTCTGACTCACACAACCAACGCACAAAGATCAAGATGAGATTGTGCAATGGTTAGGGCTCAGACCATGTGATAGGGAAGAATTCGTACTTTTTTTCAGGATATTAAAGTTAAAATTCTGAGATTAAAGTTAGAATCCTCTTTTTTGTGTCAGTGGCCCAAATCCTCTTCCGTGATGTGACTAACCTAGTGGTTCTCAACGTTGGGGTGAGGACTCCACTGTGGGTCACCAAGAGCAAACAGCTACTGGAGCTACTTTCGAGGGTTTATCCCTTGAGGTCCACGTGGCAGGGGTGAGGAGTGAGCCCCACCTCACCCCCTGCCACGTGGACCTCAAGGGATAAACCCTCAACCCTGCTCAGTGGTGAACTTTCCTGGCGGGGTCACCCATGAGGACAGTGGGAGGGCTAAATAAATAACTTAAATACATCTTTCTGCTCCAGATTCTGATAAAGCCCAAGTCCAAACAGCCCAAAATTGATGTAAAAGCCGTTTCAATTTAGCTGTCGCCATCTTGTTCCACTCTGTCACATCATCCCGCCCACCAAACTAATAGAGTGCCTTGATTGGCTCACAAAGCCAATTGAAATCCCAATAGAGAGCTGCTATTAGCCCACCAGAATGCTGCTAGGGGCCGTAGAGGTTCCAATGAATTGTTCCTGAACTTTTGTGTGACAGTTGAGCGTCCTGCTGTTACCCGATTGATCATGCTCTCTGGCTACTGGGCCAAGGGATGTCCCTTTGGCTGACTGGTTAGCGAGCGTGACTCTCATCCGGGAGTCTGGGAATCAAATCCTACCCAGGTCCTCAATTCTCCAGCTTGCCACGTTTGCAAAGCAAGAAATTTGGACTAGCTCACTAGGCTAAGGAGGGTGCATTTTGGATGAAGTAGACGTCCTTTCCAGGCTAGCATTTTAGTGCATTTTAACATTTTGTTAATTTGTAATTATTTTAATATTTTTCAACTAACAACATAGTCGTCGTCGTCTTCCTCCGCTTATCCGGGTCGCGGGGGCAGCATCCCAACTAGGGAGCTCCAGACCGTCCTCTCCCCGGCCTTGTCCACCAGCTCCTCCAGCAGGACCCCAAGGCGTTCCCGGACCAGATTGGAGATGAAACCTCTCCAACGTGTCCTGGGTCGACCCGGGGGCCTCCTGCTGGCAGGACACGCCCGAAACACCTCCGCAGGGAGGCGTCCAGGTGGCATCCTGACCAGATGCCCAAACCACCTCAACTGGCTCCTTTCGCTCCGGAGGAGCAGCGGTTCTACTCCGAGTCCCTCCCAAATGTCCGAGCTCCTCACCCTATCTCTAAGGCTGAGCCCGGCCACCCTACGGAGGAAACTCATTTCGGCCGATTGTATCCGCGATCTCGTTCTTTCGGTCATTACCCAAAGCTCATGACCATAGGTGAGGATTGGGACGTAGATCGACCGGTAAATCGAGAGCCTGGCTTTCTGGCTCAGCTCCCTCTTCACCACGACAGATCGGCTCAGCGTCCGCATCACTGCAGACGCCGAACCAATCCGCCTGTCGATCTCCCGGCGAACTAACAACATAACTTAAAAAAGGAAAAATGTAAATGAAATTCATCAACATCAACAAGAGATGGAATGCCTGGCCTGGTTTCTTGTTTTGCTTTAACCCAATAGTTTCATTATCTGAATTTCTGAATTATTTTGGAGCATGAACCAGGCTCAGTTTAATGCTGAAAATACTAAAACAGTAAAAAATAAAAAATAAAAAGGAAAGAAACTTCCAAATGTCATCTTACATTTGATAATTCATTATTTACATGTTTTAGATTTAAATTTTCATTGATTATATGTTCTGGATGTTTTACTGTCTCTGTTTTTGAGGTGGTACCTGGGGTGGCCAGCCTTTTGCCCATGCCCCCCACTCTGGACATGCCCCTGTCTAAAGGATTTTGCGCAAAATTTAGAGGAAGTTTTACCTATTAAAAGTATTTTTACTTCAACTTTATTCATGCTTGTCTGACGTTTTGGACTTACCTCCTGCAGGTCTCGCTGCTTCCGTCCACAGACTTTCCAGGCCATCGTCTCTGGGCATCAAGTTCGGTCCGATTTCAGGGAAAATAGGATCTGACGGTGAGGACGTTGTACCTCCATCGTGGCTCCACGTTTTTACAGGTGTGGAGGCCTGAGATGTGACAAACATCAAGGGAGGGGTGGCACTGAAGGATGCCAGTTTGGGGGTCCAGAGGGGAGTGTAAGGTGATAAGGGCTCTCTGAAAGATGGTTCTGAGTCTTCACCTCCAACAGAAGCATACAGCTTCTCCCTCTCCTCAGCTATCCCACCTGTAGGACTCAGCAACTCATACCTGACCGGTCCATTCTTGTTTTGAATCTCTGCGTCTTCCTTCTCGGATGTGCTTTCAGTCTGCTTTACTTCCCTCCGCTGGCTCAACACCTCTCCAGCTTCCCTCACAAGACTGCCCTCATTTTCTGTCTGCGTCACTAACTCTATCCCCTCAGGTCCCTCATGGGGCCCGGTCGCTCCGCCTGCACCTACATTCAGACCAATCAAACCCTCATCTGAGGACACCAGCTCAGTGGTGTGTGTTAACCTAGTTGTTGTTATCGGGCCGGCACAGTGCCCTTCACAGGAGACGTCCGGCTGCAGGTGGCTGAAGTCTGGGAGATGGGTGGGGGCTCCACGGAGGCAGGTCCCAACGAGGAGCAGGCCCTGGAGAAACGAGGACATCAGCATCTCTGTCTCACCTCAGTGCCTGCTGACAGTGGGCAGAAATGATGAACGCTAATAAGCCTAACAGGTGTGAACATTTTCTTCCCACGCTTCTAATGCTTATGCTGTGTCACCCAGCATAGATGTGGACAGAGACGGACAAGAAAGGCGCTGCTCTCCTTTTGAAGGTTTTCTTGAGTGTGATTCCAACAGAGAGCAGGCTTTGATGCTGCTGAAATTTCCCAAGTTAACTTTGAGGAAAGTGGAGAAAACACAGAACACACAGAGCTGCCATACTGGAGGAAAAGTGGTGAACAGAAGGAGGGAGGAAATCTGACATAGCACTCCTCAGCAACCCCTCCTACTATAAATAGCAGCAGGTCTGTAGGACCCTCATCAGAAGGCTGCATGGGTGTTACATCTGTGCAGAAATCAATCCATCAATAGCAATTGCATGATTATTTCATCATTTTATAGCATGCAAAAACCTTCATCCATGATTTGGCAGATGAACACTGACATGCACAGAAGAAGCAGTCCCTCAATCAGAAGCACTTTTCCGCTTTCCTGCTGCGATCAACACACCTGAGACACTACAGCCAGTCAGTCGCCTGACAACACCAGAACAAATCCACACTGCGGTTCTGAGTCACATTTCTCCAGTGACAGCACTGATTCAGCCTCCAGAATCTCCGATGCATCCTCCCCACAACGCAACACCCGTCACGCGCTGCAATCCAATCTGAGTCGGATCACCGAGATAAAAAAAATAAAAAATAAAATTACCGTTCAGAGATCATGATGGTTGCATTAGGACGCCGAGTTGTTCTTCTAGCTTGCAGAAATAAAAAAACGTGCTCAAATTCAGGCTAGTCTGCCGTAGGAATCCGGCTGCGGGAGAGGCTTGTTTTTGTGCGGCTGAGCGTCACTGACAGACAGAAAGTCAGTTTTTTTTTGCCCGCCTGTTTTTTTAAAGTGATGCCACAAAATATTTAAAACCTACATCAAGGCTGATTTGATTAGTTTCTCCAAACTAGCATATGTCTAGTTTTATGTCAGATTGTGTCCATCTTTCAGCAGGACCGAGCGCAATTTGTGGCACTGTGGCAGCGGCTGCGCGAGTGGCACTTGCGGTGGCAGCTCTGACACTTCCGGTGTTCTGACAAAACGTCCTACTTTGGCAAAACGTCCTACCCGTAGAATAGTTTTATGGTGTTTTACATGACACAAACCCTAACCCTAACCCAAAAAATCAAGTATCAACGTCAATAAAAAGTACTAATACTTACTACTTACCAATTTTCCTGCAAATATGACAACGGAGTAGCATTCCCTTTTTGTGTTGTGCGTATGCGCGCACATTCTCGTGGAACAACGGGTAGGACGGTTTACGGGGTAGGAGAAATTCCCAGCTTTTAGTGGCATCTGCCACAGCTGCCACAAATCCTGCCACTGTCTGCCGATATTACACTTCTATGTGGTGCCACAGCTTTTAGTGGCACCTGCCACAGCTGCCACGGCCCCTGCCTGCTGCCATGACACTTCCGGGTGGTGCCACGGCTTTTAGTGGCACCTGCCACAGCTGCCACGGCCCCTGCCACTGTCTGCTGCAATGACACTTCCGGGTGGTGCCACGGCTTTTAGTGGCACCTGCCACAGCTGCCACGGCTCCTGCCACTTCTGCCATGACATTTCCGGGTGGTGCCACGGCTTTTAGTGGCACCTGCTACAGCTGCCACGGCCCGACCACTGCTGCCATGACACTTCCGGGTGGTGCCACGGCTTTTAGTGGCACCTGCCACGGCCCTGCCACTGCTGCCATGACACTTCCGGGTGGTGCCGCGGCTTTTAGTGGCACCTGCCACAGCTGCCACGGCCCCTGCCACTGCTGCCATGACACTTCCGGGTGGTGCCACTGCTTTTAGTGGCACCTGCCACAGCTGCCACGGCCCGCTGCCATGACACTTCCGGGTGGTGCCACTGCTTTTAGTGGCATCTGCCACAGCTGCCACGGCCCGCTGCTTGACACTTCTGGGTGGTGCCAGTGCTTTTAGTGGCGCCTGTCACAGCTGCCACATCCCCTGCCACTGCTGCCATGACACTTCCGGGTGGTGCCACAGCTGCCACAGCCCCTGCCACTGTCTGCTGCCATGACACTTCCGGGTGGTGCCACAGCTGTGGCAGCATATATATATATATATATATATATATATATATATATATATATATATATATATATATATATATATATATATATATATATATATATATATATATATATATATATATATATATATATATATATATATCGTTTTACTCAGGCGCTCCTCAGGCGCTCCTCAGGCTCCTAAAATCCAGCTTAGGGCCCCTGTAGACACCCCCCAAGAGAAAAACAGAGCATTGAACAAGAAGATGCAAGCTGGCTCTTTTCGGCGTTAGTATTAAAGATAATTTTCGGAAGTAGATCAGTACAATGCCAATATTTGATGGCTTGGGGAGTGGAGGAGAGAAGACTGCGATTGTCATCGATTTAGGAGCAGCGTATACAAAGTGAGTATGTTGTTAGCGCGTCTTGCTAACTGAGCTACCATGTTAGCATGCTAATATTTAGCAAACATGTTAGCATACGTTTATATTTCTGGTATTTACCTGTATTATATTTGGGGAACCTTGAAGTAGACAGTTTATGCTTAAAAGTTGATTTAGAGCCCAAAACTAAGGTTAATCGTTTTAGTGATTTAATTCGTCCAGTTAAGAGTCAGTGTTAGCTAAGAATTTATAGAGCTAATACACATCACCTATGCACATATTGGACAAAATAGTGGTGACTTTGTTTAGTTTCTGTTATATTTAAAACAATAATCAAAGTTTGTCTGTGTCCGGAAAAATCCGAATTATTAAATAATAAAATGGCGTGTAATCTATGATGACAAATTTCAGTCTCCTTACATGCTGTGTAGGAAACAGGACAATCAGATTTGTTTACATGTAATCTGACAGAGTTAACTAGCTTTTTTTTTCTTCAGTTTAATTCAATTAAAGCTTAGTCAGTTAAAAATGTAAAAGTGAACAGTTTATTTTGCTCACTAGGTCACTAAAAGCAAATTAACATTTTATTAAAAAGGGGGAGTGAAGGGTGAAGATTGGAGTGTATTTTACTATAGCTTCTATACAGGAAACCTCACTACCCATACCAAACTTAACCGTATCATCTCTACACCAATGTAAAAGACACACACCACTTACAGTGTACTTTTAATTCATAATAGATATGCAAAGGAAAACTGTCTTGGAGCAAGTCACATGAAGATCAAGAGGATCTATCTCTTTTGTAGATAAAGGTTTCTTTGTCTGCAATGTTGTTCTGCAACACTGCAGAACCTCCTTGGTTCATTTCTTTAGAAATTACTCTCCATTTTTTTTGTATTCTTTCATTTGTACTTTCATAGGTGACTGCGTGAATAAAACATTCATTTTAAAAGTTCCTAAACTCAAGCCAATATAATAAAGGAACTGATGAAAATTTGACTAACTGTAGAAGAAGTTTTGCTTTAAATGTTATGAAATAACCATAAAAATCCACACGGCTGACACAAACATTTTCTTGCAGATGCGGCTTTGCAGGGGAAACGGGGCCCAGGTTCATAATTCCGAGCGAGATCCGAAAACCTGGACAGAAACAAGTGAGCCACTAATGATTAGTTTATGCAGAAGCAGTCAAAGTAATGTGTGGCGTTGGGTCATTTGTCTAACGGTTTGTGTCGTCTGACTTTTAGGCCATCAAAGTGGTTCAGTACAACATCAACACAGAAGAGCTTTATGTCATCCTCAAAGAGTTTATCCACATGTTGTACTTCAGGTGAGATTTGTTCAAAAATGTTTTTGAGTAGTCCAATAACTTCAAATGTACCTCAATATTTTATTTATTATTTTTCTTTTCCGTTGTTTCTCTTAATCAGGCACTTGCTGGTAAACCCTCGCGACAGAAGAGTGGTGATCATCGAGTCCATCCTTTGCCCGTCTCACTTCAGGGAGACCCTCACCAAGGTCTTCTTCAAACAGTTTGAGGTACCAGAAGAAGCAACTATGGGTTTTAGTTTATGTACTTTCATTGCAGTCGGTTGGTCAGATTTCTTGGACAATAATTTAAACAAATGGCAGCAATTACATATTAAAACTATAGTTTGATAGGAGTTGAGTCACATTTTTATTCATATGGCATTTCAGAGGATTGTGGAATAAGCTTTGTTTGGTTTTGGGGAGTTATGAAGTTTACATTTATATAGATTTGATTGATGCGTTTTAATTCTAGGTGCCCTCCGTGCTGTTTGCACCAAGTCACCTCATGGCCGTCATGACTTTAGGTATCAACTCTGCACTGGTGATGGACTGCGGATACTCGGAGACGCTTGTGCTGCCGGTATCCATCACAAATAGTTCATTCCCTGATGGTTCGGGGGGAAATATAAAACTGACTTTAGTCTCTCGAGGCAGGATGTTAGATGCTGAAAATGTCACAGTAAATTTTTATGGTTATCACAGTTTCTTTAGTTTTTTGTAACTTAAAGATCTATTTATTCTTCATAGAACTGAAGGTGCAAGACGGGGGCATCTATTATTGGATCTTTGTCAAAGGCGTGCTACATTTGACGTTTAGTTTCATGTTAACAATAATATGTTTGTGTTACTTAATATTGACTCGTTGTCCTCTGTAGAATGGTGCTCCATTCAGGTTTATTATCTTTACTTGCATCATTTTGCTTGGATTTTTCAAATCTTTCTTTGAACTTTTGTGCTGCAAAGGTTCTACTAAAAGGTTCAGATCCACTTAAAAGATTCAAAAGACGATTCTACGTGTAAAATCAAAGACTTTATAGATCTGAGGTCAATCCCAACACTGTAGCATGGTGCTTCTCTACCTTTCTGGGGCTTGAGCAGGTTTTATCTCATCATATTTAATCCACCTTAACATGGTGAATCAGGTTTATGAGTGTACCCCCATCCTTCCAGCCTGGGAGGCTTTGCCGCTTGGTGGGAAAGCAATCCATAAGTAAGTAAATCAGAAAAACTTTGTGTTCTGTCTCATTTTGAACTCACATAGACATGTCTGCTTTTGCCATTGTCGTCCATTATATTAGATTGTCTTATTGTTTCGCTGATGATCTATTTTTTTATATTGTAGAGAATTAAACGCATTCCTCGTGGAGCAGTGCACCGTGGACACAGACAGCACTACTGGACAGAACGTCTCAGTAGCTATCGGTAATAAAATAAAAGTCATAACCATTTACGTTTTTTATATTGGCAGACCTTTTCAAAGCTATCATAACATTTACATCATCATGAAAAACTAGTTTCTGTGCAGCATCTGAGTGAAGTCTATTTTCAGTTTGGAAGGTTTTGCATATACATACACCCTCCATAGTTTATTTTATTTTTAAATTTATATATAATGTGTAACTATGCATGAGGAACAGGCGGACATAAAGCTACAATCTGGAGTTTTATTTTCTTTGACAGCACCATCTAGAGGCTGACTAATGTATTGCACCATAAGCCGTTATTATTACTGCCGTATTTAGGGTTGAAAGAAACGCCTCTCGTTCATAAATACACACCTCTAGCCTGCCAACAGAGCTAAAACACATTGTTTTACAGTTATTATTCTCACGTTGTTATTTATTCATTGCCTAGAAATTTAGACAGTGGATCAGTAGCTAAAGCAAAATGTTTTAGCTCTGCATGGCATGTATATAAATTCATATACATATATGTGTGTGTATATATATAATTTTTTTTTTCAAAGACATAGCTGTCCATAAGAAATGCTGCCACATCTGCCTCTGCCTATACAGACGCTCGTGCACATACTCTGATTGACATCTGTATGTCAGCAGATGTTTATCGCTACTGGCTAATGCTGAACGGCGGTCGACTCACGTTGAATGGAGTGCTATAGGGCTGGGCAGTATATCGATATTTAATAAAATATTGATATAATTTTCAAACAAGAATCAAGATGACTTTAAATTGACAATCCATTAGCATAGCGGCTAGTTCTAGCTGCTAGTGCTAACTGCCACCTTGCTTCATCTCAAAGTGGTCATTTCATGCATTCTTATGCATCTGCTCGGTCAGAAAACCTCTGGGTCGTTGTTTTGCTTAAAACTTTTCATTTGGTTTTGTGGATTTTAATTATTTGGGAGCATTTGTTCGTGATTCAACTAGCATTTTTACCAAGTCTGCCGACCGGAGTTATTGCCTAAAGCCGCTTCTGGGACGCAACAATTTCCGCAGTTAACACAAGGCCAGACAGGAATTCACACACTGTTTCAGTGTAAAATCCTGGTAATTTTCAAAGTAAGTTTATTGCAGCTGTGCGGTTTCATGTCTACGTAGATTTTGTCAATACAAGTGACCTAGCGGCTTATTTACTCCTTGTATTGTTCCAGAAGTGCAGCGGTGTGTTTTTCATGGCATTAATTCTGGCAGTGGAGAGGAACAGCATCATATATGACATCAAACAGCGATATCTGACATGATTTCCTTCTTTTGGGTTTGATGGCGGACGGCATAAACTCGAGGGATTTTGCGATCGAATGAGGAGCGCAGCGGAGAGTCTCCCGGTGTGTACTAATTGTCGCGAGTAAACCATTTTGCTGCCGTTCCGCGCCGCCGATGCTTCCGGTGTGCAGTAGGGGTGAGACGTTTGCGGATTTCTAAGAAATCCTACATAATTCCTAAAAGGGGAACCTCTGGATTCCAGCTTTAACTTCACTGACGTTTGATTTAATTACCTAATTTAAAATGGACCAACTATGAACTCCCTTTGAGCTCTGTGCAACATTTTAAATAATTTAATAATTTTCATAAATTTTTCCCACTTTTATCTTTTCCATCAGGAACCATTCCAGAAGAAACAGTGGAGGACATTAAAGGTGTGTTTGACTCCACCTATTTTATTGTTTTCGTCTCCAAAGAGCATCATCAAGGTTTTTATTGTAATTCCCATCAAAGGCTGCATTAGGAGTCCAAACTCAGCTGAATTATTTAGTTATAGTTATGGGGAGGGGGTCATGTTAGCCAAGCTGACATTTAAAGGGACATTATGGAAGTTTGACAGCCAAAACATGTATAGAAATAATAAATGTCTTCTTCATACATTCTCCTGCAATGCCCTGGTCCTGTAGAATGAGCCCTGGCATTTTTACTGTGATTGCCTGTTTTTCTGTAAAATCACAGAAAAAGAGAGATGCTCGGGTCGAGCAGGCTGCTTCATGCGCGTTCACGCTCAGGCATAGCCCGTAGCATTTGCTATCAGTAGCTTTAGCAGCAGAGAGAGAGGCAGTGCCACTTTGTCGCTGTTCCTAACGCCTAGTGACAAAGCTAGCTACATTTCTGAGGACCCTTAGCTACTTTCTGTAGAACTTTCTTCTAGATATTTCCTGCAAATTAGCAACAAAATAGCCATTTTCACTTCGAACCGTTCTTTGGTTTGACGTTGTTTCAGCTGTCATCAAGGATATAAATGTTACAGATACTGTGAATGTTACTAGAGTGTAGCTCACCTTGTAAGATGTCTGACTCTCATGCAGAAGACCTGGGTTTGATTCTGGGTGTGAACATAGTTTATTTAGAGTTTCTTTTTTACATTAATGGTATATATTTTTTACAGTAATAAGACGCCCAAATTTTTATTTGAGACTCGCCGAACGGCATTGAATTCACAGATAAAAAAGATGTGGGTTCAACTTTCATTTTGGAACAATTTTTCAAGCAAGGGAAGGGAATGATCTGAGCATGCAGGAGGACTGACCCATCATAAACCTTTGTCGGCTGTGCTGAAGAGAAAGGTACAGAACCAAATTATTTAATTAATTAGCTGCGCGTTCTCCTGTCCTCCGGGCCACACACACACACACACATGGGACTGTCTCAGCTGTTATTTTCGTTAAGGAGTGTGCACGTACAGCATGCGCGCCTCGTGCACGAGCCTCCTATTGAAGCTGCTGTTACACTTTTGGCCTGAGGGGGCAATAGCGAGCATAAAAATTCAAAAGTCCGTAAAGTGCCTTTAACAATGAGCTATATAAAATAACTGATTGGTGATTTTTCATAATGTGGTTTTTGGCAGACATTGTAGTTTGTTTTGAAGGAAACCAACTCCTTTGTCCATCGAGTTTTCTTGTTTTTACTTTTAGTTTGATCACATATGCTGTTTTGTTTTTGCAGTTCGGACGTGTTTTGTCAGTGACCTGCAGAGGGGACTCAAGATCCAGGAGGCCACATTTAACCTGAATGGAACAACTGAGGTAAAAAAAAAGTAGTTTTAATCTTTTAGTTGGATTTAATCTGTGAACTAAGTAAGCTAATTGTAGTGAAATCTGTGTATAACTTGTGTGATTTTGTAGCGTCCAGCCCCTTGTCCAGATGTTGATTATCCTCTGGATGGCGAGAAAATCCTGCATGTGAGAGGACTCATCAGGTAACATGAAAGATAACGATCTTTTAAATAGTGCCTTTCGAGGCGCGTCACAGGAACAAAAATTTTAAAATGAAAAGATTTTTTTAATGATTAAAAAATTTCCTAAAAAAAAAAAATCAAAACTTGGGGCTTGTTTTATAATCTACCAGTCTGAATTTGTCTTTAACTGTCTTGTTCAGTCATAAATAATTACTATCCTAGCGTCCTGATTGTCTTCAGTTTGGAGGAATGGACCTCATGTCCTTCAGGACTGATAAGCTAATGGCTAGCCCACAGTGGATTGTAGTAATCGTATAATTTCCCAGCAGTTTGTTATAGCACGTCAGTTTAGCTTCAGTGGTATTTCTGCATTAATGTTCATAAATTGACCCCAAAATGAGTGGGAGGAGGTGTGTGTGGGACGAGTAGGTGTAGGCCAGAACGATCTGGCATCACTCAGACTAGCCGTTAGCTTATCAGTCAGATGGCATTTCTTGTTTCTTTTTACACAAACACATAAAAAATAAGAAATCTCCATATAAACCCTCTTTGTTGTTACCGTGTTTAGTTAACAGTAACGATTTAGGTCACTTAAGTTTTTGTGTTCTTTTCCTCCAGGGACTCTCTGATGGAGATCATGTTTGAACAAGACAATGAGGAGAGGAGTGTGGCCACATTGATTCTCGATGCTCTGGTCAAGGTAAAATAATTGCATTCTGATGTTTTTGTGCTAATCAGATATTTAAGAGTGTAACTTTGTTTTATTTTTGTTCATCAGTGCCCCATCGACACACGTAAAGTACTCTCTGAGAACCTGGTGGTGATTGGAGGTACATCCATGCTGCCCGGCTTTCTGCACCGCCTGCTGGCTGAGATACGCCTCCTGGTGGAGAAACCCAAGTACAGCCACGTGCTGGCCAGCAGGAACTTCCGCGTCCACGCTCCACCCGCCAAGCCCAACTGCACTGCGTGGCTCGGGGGTGCGTTAGCATGTTCAGCTGAACTGTTATTAGTTCCTGCTGACTGACAGAATCAGCAAAATTTTCAAAACAGCTCTGTGGATAAATCGTTCTCCTGCATCAGCTCGTATCAGAACCCATTCAGTCAGCCTTTTCTGAGTTTTCTGCATTCCTCTGGTTTTCCTAGGAGCCATCTTTGGAGCCCTCCAGGACATCCTGGGCAGCAGGTCGGTGTCACGGGACTACTACAACCAGATGGGTCGGATCCCAGACTGGTGCTGCCTGAGCTCCCCTCCTCCTGAGTGTCTGTATGATGCAGGAAAGACCCCTCCTCCACTGATGAAGAGAGCTTTTTCCACTGAGAAGTAGATCATTCACATAATCCATAAGTCTAATCTCAGCATATGTCCGGCTAATGTGTTTAATACACACACTGTCTGCTCCCCAAACTAACTTTTAGGGGACTAATTGCTTATTATTTAGCTAAATGTACCCAACACGTGACCCTGCTGACCCAGCACACACACTCTTAGCAGCAGCTTCTGGGATAAATCCACTGTGAGGATTTTTCAGACTGTTGCATTACTGTGAGCTTCTTTCCGGTGATGAGATTTCAAAAGTAAACATGCCTGCAGTCACATTGGGGCAGCCGTCTGGTTTCTACGTGCAGCAGTCGGCAGAAACCTAACACTGACGTTTAGTCATCGATTCATCATCAGACGATGTTCATACCGCTTCTTAAGAATTCAGTGGTGACCTTTTAATGTTTTTGCACTTATTTATTGTTTTTCCTGAGCTGTGGGATGTTTTTGTTATGTAAGAAGCTGTAAACAGGAGCTTTTCTACCCATTATTAGATCAGGTTAAATGAACTAAAGCCCGACACAAACACAGGTGTTTCAGGTTTAGGTGTGTTTGTGTGTGTGTTTGTCTGCATTAAACAGGTCAGTCACTCCTGATTGTTAAAGACCATTGAAATAAGTTTAATGTGTTACTCTGTAAACCGTCAGTACTACCAATAAAATTTCAGAGCTGATTTGTGTGTGTGTGTGTGTGTGTGTGTGTGTGTGTGTGTGTGTGTGTGTGTGTGTGTGTGTGTGTGTGTGTGTGTGTGTGTGTGTGTGTGTGTGTGTGTGTGTGTGTGTGTGTGTGTGTGTGTGTGTGTGTGTGTGTGTGTGTGTGTGTGTGTGTGTGTGTGTGTGTGTGTGTGTGTGCCTATCTATACATCAAAGTGAGGACCATTGACATCAGTACCAAAGTGAGGACATTTTGCTGGTCCTCACTTTGGTACTGATGTTGCAGAGCTCCACTCGTTAGTTTTAGAAGTAATGGTGTGAGTTAAGTTTTAGAGTTAGGAATAGACTGGTTAGGATTAGGCACAATCCAGTCACTAAAATGAATGGAGGTCAACGACGGTCCTCACAACACGTGCTAGATGAGAATGTGTGTTAGTGAGTGTGAGATTAACAAAATATCTGGTTAACGCATGAAGGATTTTAAATGAAAATTTCAGGAATATGTCCTTGGAAGCACATCTACTATTTTGTCAGCCCAATCCAACATGGCCGCCACAACCGACTGACTAGGAAAATCAAAAATGACCAAAAATTGATTATAAAAAGATTTTAGAGATTAATTTTGAAGCAAAATAAATTTTTAATTGAGAAAAAAAATGTAAACAATGTGGAGCACTTTGGCATCCTTGTTGGGGGGGGGGGGGGGGGGGGGGGGGCTGCTATAAAAAAAATGAAGACACAAAATAAAAAAAAAAGTACACTTCCGGCGCGCCAGGATATGTCCGATACTGAGCGCCAGGTGTTTTCTGCCAGGTCGGTTACTTCTATTTGTACGTTTTATAAAACAAGGGAAACTTACTGCCTGAGGGAACTTTGGGAAAGGAACTCATCTGTAACATTACCGAAGACGACTGGAACACTGCTTTGAGAAACGTAAGAACCTTAAGTGTATGTAATAGGGTTGAAGCGACCCAACTTCTGATTCTTCACAGAGCTCATATATCACCCTACCGAAGGCAGAAATTTAACCCCACCGCATCTTCACAGTGCCTGAAATACAAAACTGAGGTTGGTACTCTTTAGGGCTGGGCCATATGGCCTCAAATCTATATTGCGATATAATCTGAAGCATGTACGGTAACGATATATATATATTGCGATATACTTTTTTCCTCTGTTTATATGTGTCAAAATGACATGCTTTTTAATATCCTCATGTGGCAAATATATGCCACTTATAGGCCTCCTCTTCCCACTCCATGCGTGCGGTCACTGCCGTTCTGTTGTCCCAGTGTCAGCAGGGCGTACATCTTAATGACGTGTTATCGCGATATCGCGGTATTACGATATAGCCAAAAACTATCATTACCTACTTTTATATCGTTTCTACCTTATATCGTTTATATTGCCCACCTCTAGTACTCACGGTTTCTGGTCCTGTATTAAGGTGAAGCAATTCTGGCGGATTATCGGAGAGGAGATGAACAAAATTTTGTTTGCGAACTTAATAATCCCTTATTTCTGTTGTTGGGAGTGGTCGATCCGGTTGTCAGTGGTTAATATGAAAGGAGACTCCACAGCATATTGACTTTCTGTACCAGAAAGTGTCTTCTCCTGAACTGGGTAGCTGACAAGATCCCCTCCAAAACACAGTGGTGGAGGGTTGTGCTCATGCCTCTCTTGACTGTCTAACATGTCGATTGCACTGCAGGGATGAAGCCCTCGCCAGGACGTGGAAACGTTTTCTACTGCATGTTGGACCGGACGTCTCTGCGTTCTTTGCTGGAGCTTTGGTGTAGGGACACCGTTGCGCGAACGGACACCTGAATCTGAACTTGTATACATGCGAGGCAAGGGAGCCACGGGTTTATGTTGTTGTTTATGTTTGTTATTGATGTGAAAATAAAATAATAAATAATTTTTTCTACAAAGTAAAAACACAATTAGAAATTCAAATTAAGTATGAAGTCTGAAACACAGAAAACCTGCAGAAACCCCATCAGGTAACGTGTGAAGTTTGATGTCGTTTAATGGCAGCCACCAAATCCAAAGTGTGTGTCTGTGTGCTTTTTTGCAGCATTGTGCAGACACTCAAGTAAAAATAAAAAACCTTTATCTATCTGTTCTCATGCACATCAGACAAAACATCACGATGAAACCACAGGAACCTGCATCGCAAAGATCCTGTTTGTGCACAAAATGCCAGTGGATTCTGTGCATCTTGGAGCAGAAATGCACCCGTTTGGCCTTTTAGGTGGTTTTAAAACCTGTCCTGTAAATCTAGTAGCATTACCCACGATGCATCTATGGAAGATTAAAATGGGCAGAAAATAAAAAATGATAAATCAAATAGTTTGGCTCCTTTCAGCCCTCGAGTGAGACACAAACTCCATCTGGAGTGTTTTCCCGCTCTGAGATGGAAAAGTTATTCTGCTGATTTGTAGGTGAGATTTTAACTAAATGTAGTTTTAGATGTAGCCGTTTAAAAACAGGCAGAAAAATGTTACTTCCTCCTCCTTGTGAGTGAGTCTTTGCCAGAATTTCTAGTTTTATGTTTGAATTTCCTCAAGAGCAGCACAGTTCAGCTGCTGCTCCAGCTGAGGGAAACCTCCTCCAGCTGGAACCGGGATCTGGTCACGGGTCAGGTGTCCAGAGACGAGAAGCAGCCGCTGCTCATTTGATTTTGGAGCTGAGGAAGGGGATCATTTCCTGTCAAGAATCAGCATCATTTAGAAAATGTTTAGTCATCCTTTAGAATCCTGTCACTGGGTTTCGGTGAGGCACACGTAGACCAGGGGTCAGGTTTTTGCAAACTACTAAAATGAGATTTTTTTACAGTAATTTAAAAAAAATGCAAAAAAAAAAAGTTAATGTTTTTTATTTTTATTTTGTGATTTGTACTCTTCAAAATGTGTATACAAAATAAGCATAGTCTTCCACAGCCCTGGTCTGCTGCAGCACATCCCCTCCAGAGCCGAGCTGCTGTTCGTCTGGTTGCTGGCAGGAGGCCCTGGAGCGCTCTCTGCTGTGACCTTGTAACACCACTGGGTTCTTCAGTGTCACAGTCAGGCCACGACAATCACAGCTGTCTCTTTTCACTTCATGGCACGTTTCCCCAAAAGCACGTTGGTGTTAATCCAGAACGTAAAGTTCTTGGCTTTTCTTCTGTCTTCTCCTCTAACGTGGACAATAAAACACTCAAGTTGGTCAGACTTTTGAAACATACACATCTGCAATGTAAATGTAATCTCAAATCTGTCCAGATTTTAAGCTCTGAGGATACGAGCATGATGGAAGAAAGTGATTTCCTCCGGAAAACCCAAAACCAAACGTGTTACAAAAACATTTCTGTAGAATTCACCCTCATTACTCACCAGCTAGTACGTGATTTTCTTCCCATCTTTGCTCCAGAACTCCCCCTTTTCTCTTTGTCTGATGCTTTATTTAGTTTCTGGAGCACACAGGAGGAACCTCATCCTCGGCAGAATGGGAAAACTCTTCAGAACTGCTTGGCTCCTGCTGGTCCTGATGCTGGAGCTGGTACCTGCACAGGTAACTCACACGCTCGTTTAGGGAATTATTACCTTTTCCGCACCAATGTAAGAATTTTTACCAGCCTGTTTATTCGTGAGCACTTGTGGTTCAACTGTAAACTCGAGAAAAAATTTACTTTTCACATATTTTTGCTTTTCAGGTATTTATTTTCTTTTTGTTTGAAAATGTGGAACATTTCTTCAGGCATGCATGAGCCCTATGGGCTCATCCAGCTGCTTAGACTTTATTTTTACAGTACAAGTTGTATCTATTTATATATATGTATATATATATATTTTTTTTGTGCATACGTTGGTTTTGACACAGGGCAACAGTTCAGAAGTGGAAGCTCCATCACTGGTAAGCATCTTAGTAGACTGGTTTCAGTGGTGCATGAATGTGTGCAGAAAGTCTGCATCAATAACAACTTGTTTGCACATTATCACAATGGAAAAGTCATTTCATTGTGGGAAACAAGAAAACTTGATACATCCCGCTCTTGTTTTAGGTCAATTTAACCCAGTTAGTATCATTATTAATTAGTTGGTTTTCCTGCTTCCTGTTTTTAGTTTCTGATGAATAAAAACAGATTAGGAAAACAAAAATAAGGACAGATCAAATAGGGCTCTAATTAATCATTTGACAATCTGATTAGTAAATTAGAGCACAGCCACTCGACTTGAATAAAAGACATAAATAAAGCTGTTGATTGGCCCAAATGATTCAAAACATTTTTTAGTTTCTTGGTTTACTTGAAAGAGTTTCCGGGTCGGGAGAGAGGTCCTACCTCAAGTGGAGGAGTTTAAGTATCTCGGGGTCTTGTTCACGAGTGAGGGTAGGAGGGATCGGGAGAACAACAGGCGGATTGGTTCGGCGTCTGCAGTGATGCGGACACTGAGCCGATCTGTCGTGGTGAAGAGGGAGCTGAGCCAGAAAGCCAGGCTCTCGATTTACCGGTCGATCTACGTCCCAATCCTCACCTATGGTCATGAGCTTTGGGTAATGACCGAAAGAACGAGATCGCGGATACAAGCGGCCGAAATGAGTTTCCTCCGTAGGGTGGCCGGGCTCAGCCTTAGAGATAGGGTGAGGAGCTCGGACATTCGGGAGGGACTCGGAGTAGAACCGCTGCTCCTCCGGATCGAAAGGAGTCAGTTGAGGTGGTTTGGGCATCTGGTCAGGATGTCTCCTGGACACCTCCTTGGGGAGGTGTTTCGGGCATGTCCTGCCGGCAGGAGGCCCCCGGGGTCGACCCAGGACACATTGGAGAGGTTACATCTCCAATCTGGTCCAGGAACGCCTTGGGGTCCTGCCAGAGGAGCTGGTGGAGGTGGCCGGGGAGAGGACGGTCTGGAGCTCCCTAGTTGGGATGCTGCCCCCGCGACCCGGACCCGGATAAGCGGAGGAAGACGACGAGTTTTAAAATGTTTAACTTAAAAATATTGTTTTATTGTAGTTTTTAGAAACAGCATGTTGTAACCTAAAGATATTTGATCGTTGTTTTATTTTGTGACCGCTAATTCTCGGGTTATGCCATTGTATCTAAGTAGTGTTTGACATCTTAAAAGATAAGATATAAGGATTAACTGAAATTTGAATGCACTGTCCGTCAAACACTCCCCGAATGCTTGCATCACTAACTGCCCCCTTCAGGTTTGCACTGCTGTGTGTTAGGTGCTCTAAATTGGTTTCTTTACGGGAATTCGGTCCTGGTTAGAAGAGGGGTGTGTTTAAGAGTAAAAAGTGGCAGAATCAATTGGGTTTCGGTAGCGTTAAGGTGCGTAGGGAGGTAAGTAGGGGAATTTTACTTTATTTGTCCAAATTATTATGGTTCAAATTTCGAGGTTGTCACTGGTGAGTATTTATGTTTATATCTATGGGAGTGTTTTCCAAATTTGCAGGGTTGTCATGTTTGCTCTCATTTTTAGAGTCCTTATGGTAAGTATGGGGTTTGTAATAAATTGTATTGTTTTGGTAACATCTATAAAGTGTAGTACCTTTGGTCACCACTAGAGGAAGCATCTGCTTCATGAAACAACTGCGTGCCACGATTGTTTCACCTAATACTGGAATTTATCAACATGTCTTGTTTTTAGCTCTGTGACATAAAGTGGTGGGTGATGTGCATTTATGCAATAAATGCCAGGATTTAACTCATTAATAAATTAAATGTAAGTTTTAATTAGTTTTGAATTTTTTTTTCCAGATTCCAGAAGATGGGCAGATCAAAGGTAAGGGTTTTCTGAATAGCCTTTTCTGCCAGTTAAAAGTGATGTAAAGATGTGAGACCCAGACTCTCGTAGCAGTGGGATTTCTGGAGGTGCTGGCGAGGAGCTCCTGCCAGCCCATGGACCAGCTGGTGGGTCTGGAGCAGGAGTTCCCTTGGGAGGTGGAGTACCTTTATAGGCCTTCCTCGGTCCTGGTGAGGCGGTGCTCTGGATGCTGCGGAGATGAGGGATGCGAGTGCCGTCCAATCACTGAACGCAACATCACCCTGAATGTATGAACTGAGGGACACACAATTTCTCTTGTTTCAACTTTTTGTCCAGTTCACCCTTGTGTCCTCAGGTGATGAGGATTCTTCCAACAGTGGCTAAAGTGGAACTTGTGTTTATTGAGCATCAGGCGTGTGAATGCAGGTGAATAACTAATGAGTAACTTTTAAAACCTTCAAATCATACCATACCATGACAGTTTATTTGTAACCGTGCATTTGGGCATATGACCTCTGACCAAAGCGTCTTACAGAATGTCATAATAAAACAGAATAAAAACAATTCAATAAAGAAAAAAAGAACAAGCAGTAAAAACAAGTAATCCGGCATGTAGGGCGTGTGCAGCTCTGATATGTAGGACGGTGCATGGCCATTCAATGGCTTATAGACAAAGAGTGAAATCTTGAATCACACGCTGAAGTCACGGGCAGCCAGGGTAGATTGCCAAAACCGGGATGTGACTTCTTCTGTGGTCGTCAGAAATCTAGCAGCAGCGTTCTTCACAATCTGCAGCTGGTTCAGAGATGAAGCAGGAGCACCAATGAACAGTGAATTTGCGTAGTCCAAATGAGAGGAATTAAAAGCACGTATCACAGACTCCAAATTTGAGTGTTTCAGGTGTTTCAAATGGCGCAGTTGAAAAAAAGTATAATTTAACAACTGCATTTATCTGAGGTACCACTGAAAATCCTGTGTCCGGTTTCACACCAGTTCAATACACGGTAAATTAGGGACAGAGAATGCACCTAAATCTGACAGTCATCAGCATAGATGTGATAGCTGATGCCGTGACGCTGAAAACCCCATCCCAAAGATAGCAGATAAATGGAAAATAGGAGGGGCCCCAATACGGAGCCCTGAGGCCCCCCCACCTCCCTGGAAAAAAGAGTGAGGCACAGCCATCAAGCTGCACACTAAAATATATGTTCTCCAGGTATGAGAGAAACCAGTCTAGTGCAAATCACATCTAAAAAGTTGAAAATGTTCCTCATTTTTATCCTTCTTTGTTTTAAAGACCCAAACCAGATCCTCAACTTGACCAAAGGTCAGTAAAAAAGATAAAACCTTACTTACTTTTGGGATTTGAGTACATTGTTATCTTGATTATTGCTGTCACTGTTCTGCAGCATTGTTGAGAGCAGACCTCGATGGAGGCGGTGTAAAAGGATCGCCAGCCGCTGTGCAAGGTAAGACACAAATACATCCATGCACACACACCAGGACCACATTTATCAACACTGTCAGGCTACCAAGTACAGCAGATTAAATGTTATCATGAATAGTATTATCGTCCCTGCTGCGTGTCGTTTCTATAGAGCTTTAGACAAAACCACGTCTGCTGAGCCCCCTCTCCAAGGTCGAGTTTTTGTGCTGCAGCCATTTAAACCAGGACCATCAGTCTGAAGGGCTTATGTCACAATATCACTGATTAGAGAGAGAAAAAGAATAACAAGAGGAATAAATGCAAAACTAGGGTCCTGTTGAATTTATTTTCATTCTTTGAAGTCGTTTACATTCTCAAGTTTAGTTTTTTCGCCCCAAAATTCCTTAATTTGTGATTTAAAGTTATGAAAAATAAAAGAAAACGCCTAATTTGAGGGAATAAATTAGACAACATATTCATTCTGTTTCATTTTTTAACAGTTTTCAGCTGAGACCAATCTCTGAGTCGTTGGGTCATCAACCCAGGTTTCAGGCTGATGGACTGGAGTTAAAAGCTACAGCTTTACCAGTCTCAGTTAAACCAATTAAATCAGCTTGTCATGAGGTGATAATGCCAGGCGGATGTTGCAGCATTTGGCGTACCCTCATTATTACTGTTTTGGTTTTTGAATTGTCACGCCGGTTGGTTGAAGAAGAAAGAGTTCGAGGTATCTGGGTCAGCAGCCTGCGGCGATGCCTGCTGGGTGTCACCATCTCCTCAGCAGAAATAAATGCCTCCTCCGCTGGTGCATGTGTTTTAGGCTTCTGTCCATTTTTCAAAAATATGGGAGGCTTTTATTTATTCTTTTGTTCTTTGGGACATAAAACGCTACCAATGTGTCTTTTATCAAACTCAGAAGGTCCAAACTGCAGTTTAAACTGAAGATTAGAGTTTGACCGGCAGCCTTCTGCTGCTATAGACATGAGAAACATCTGCTTACTTACTGAGATGCTCCATTTGTATTTTCTGCAGAAATATGCAATGAAACCAAAACTTCTAAATACAATTTCACTAAATACATTTAAAGCACAAAGAACAAATATTGATTAGATGATGGATAGATGTGTTTATTCGTTCTTAAAATAATTTTGTGTTTATTTTCGAAACATAAAGCCAAATTCAGATTTGCTTTTGTCTTTTTCAGGTGCCAGCTCCCTTCAGAGCAGATAAATATCACTGATTTCACAGAGTGACTGCTTCAATGCACAGCACCCATCAAAAGCAATTATTCATCTCCTGTGTGTCATTTTTGTATTTCTACTGTTATATACTGGCATGTGTTTTAGCTTATTTGGGATTTGTGGCTTCAGTTGAGGTATTATTTCAGCCTTTCCAATGTTAATTAGCTGCTCCCGATTGTAAACCAGCTTGTTGCCATGGTTACCCATCATAACAAATGCTCAAAAAGTGAAAAAATACCACTAAAAATCCTCTAAGCTTCACAGCACCAGAAACAGAAAAGTAAAATGTCCAAAAAACACAGTTTTTCTTGAGAAACTAGAAGAAAAAAATGTCCAAAAAAAAGGCAAAACTTACATATAGTCAACAGAGCTACTCCAACATGCAGCCACCCAGAGCAGCGCAGTTCTGGAACAACCCTGCTGCAACTTGTGCTAACAACGAGCTAATTAAACCATAAAGTAATAACACCCACACTGTTGGACAAAATGTATTATTTCTTACAAGTCCAGTAGCAACAAAGACAGGTCACCATCAGTCTGTGATTTTGTAGCCTCCTTCAGCTTCCTCAAACTACTGTAAGAACACGTCAATGTTCACTCTGGTTTTATCTCTGCGTTGCTTCCAAAGACATTACTCTCTTATCAGAACAACAACTAAATACATCTGCGTACACTTCTTTTGCAGCTGCTCTTATTTAGATGATGCAGAACGACTGAACAAATGTATTGATCCAGCTATGAGTGATGCATGTAAAGATGTATCTCCATGCAAATGGATTAAGAGGACATCTGACAAATGCTCTAAATAAACGTGTGCACCAGTGTGATGGTCGTGTTATCTGACTAAGCTCTAAAGTTTTTGTCAGCCAGAAGATGTGGTTAGATGCAACAGAAAAGATCCCTAACAAAGTGATGCGAGACTTACATAGATTAGTGACACAACTCATGCCAAGCATACATTTTGAACATAAATACAAATACTTTATCCGGTTTGTAAAAGGCCTCTGAGCTATTTGTCTTTTCTATTTGCAGTGCGCTTCGCAGCCAGCGCGTCATGTTTTTTCTGTCAGTGCTTTGTTTACTACATGAGAAACAGGTTAGCTCCAGGCCAAACATTTACGTAATACACCCAGACGCTCTCGCGTCACTGCTGCCGGGGCTGCGCCGTCCCCACTCCGACCGCAAGTCACACACATTCACACACAGTCAGGCAGCAGTCACGTTTTTCAGCTGCTGGCGTTTCTGGACAATCAGAAGCCGAGATGAAGGTCACATGGTGAAGGCGGCAGCCAAAATGAATCGACCAAGCTGGTGTTTGTGATTAAGCCACGCCCCTAAACACCAAATATGGACAAACCTACATTTTCTCTGCGCGTGTCGTTTTTTTGTGTTGTGGCGGATGAACTAAGCTAGCTAAAACAACGCGTGTTCGGTAATCTTCTTGTTTTTAAAACGATAAAGGAAAATCAAACAGTTTCTGTTACTGACTGCTGCTGCTCTGTCGGAACACCGCCACCGTGCTCCGCATGTGACCGAGGGGTCGGGGGAGGGAGGAGCTGTCTGACTCGTGTTCGGTACCGTGGAACCGCGGCCAGTCCCAAGCAAAGACCTAGCTGGGCGGCTGCAGTAGCGGACACACACCTAGGGGAACAAATAAAGAAGTCACCGAGAAGCAGCCGTCACCTCGACCCAAGTGCAAGCTCCAGTTCTCGTGAATGTATATTCTGAACCACACCGTGAAAAGGTACGGCTTATTTTTGGCTCGTTTTGCGGTTTTTTTTTTGTGTCATTTTTTCGGGGCGAGTACTTGTGGGAGTTGACGCTAAGTAGCATTGTAGCTAACCATGTTGGACACAACACGTTTATTCTTTTTGTGTTAAAATTGCATAGTTATTAAACCCGCCATACTTGGTGCTATTACGCTTGTTCACAGTTTGGAAAACGTTTTTGTTTGTCTTTTTTGGAAAACTATGCCTTGTTTGTCAAGTACCAGTGACAGATAAATGATTGTCTGAAAACTTGCGAAGGTTACTTGGGTTCACGCGAGTTTCAACCATAACGAGGGTTAATCATCCTGGTCCGGGAGGGCTACTATCCCACTAGTTTGAGTAGTTCCTCGGCTCCTACACACCTGATTCAGCAGGTGCTGATTAATATCAGGTGTGCTGGATAGGGGCCCTCCTATCCAGGAGTCCCATCAGACACCCCAGATTTGTTAAATTACTACCAGACTAAAAATACTTTTGTGCCAACAGTATTTAAATTTGAAACACTTAAAACCTAGTGATTCCTTTTGATCTTGTGTTTTGGAAATGGGCTCCTGAGTGTTGTTTTGTTCTCACCTTCAGCAATTTGATAAGCTGAAGTAGTTCTGTGAGAGCTTGTGGATCCAAGGACATTGTCAGTAAAGGCAGAGGAGATGAGTATCAAGAGGAAGGCAGAGATCCACCTGAGGACGGCGAACCGACCGTGCATCATGAAGAGCGGAGGCTCCCAGCCTGATTCGGAGAGAGACTCTGGATTCTCAGGTCAATCCAGGCTCACTAAGCAATGACTCAACCTGAGTTGAACGCAGTGTAAATTTTCTGTTTGCCTTGCAGATGCTAGCTCAGAGCACACGCGCACAATGGATTCCACCGACTCGGAGGATGCCCCCCGGCCTGTAGGACAGCTGGGGTCACGCGCTCCTGGTTCAGGCCCACGGCCTTCTCAGGTGGCTGTGGTGGGAGGCGCCTACTCCGGTCTGTCTCCTATGATCATCATGAACAACGTATTGCTGAAGCAGGTAAGGCAAAAACATACTTCATAATAGTAAAGCAGGGGTGGTTGTTGTCCTATTTGTCTCTGTGTGGCTTTGTGATGGACTAGTGTCACGGTGACACCCTGCTACTTCACCCCCAAACGAAGCACAGTGGGGACAAAAAATCGATGTTCACGTTTTTATTTTTAAGTGACTTCCTTAACATGACTTGGTGCCTATTAGCCGTTTTATTACAGAAGAGTTCGACTCAAATTACACATTGGCTGTAGTTGGTGAGTATTGGCACAGGTGTTTGTTTTGATGGTGTTAATGTTGACTGTTTTTGTTTTGTTTTTGTTAGCCTGTTGACAATCCTCCTGCTCTGAAGCCCTGGGGCTTTAGTCCCACAGTAGAGGTGGTCCAGCAGCCTCAGGTGGTGTTCCTCCAGCCTGTGGTCTCCCGTCAGACTTCCCCCACCTCCAAAGCGGGCACCTCTAGGCACAGACGCTCTAAAAAATATCTTCCAATTCTGAAATCCTACCCTAAGATTGCTCCGCATCCTGGGGACAGCTCCAGTTCTTCAGGGAGAGGAACTGCTTCCTCATCCTCCTCCTCCTCCTCGTCTTCTTCAAGGACAGAGAAATGTAGCGCTTTGACCTCCACTCTATGGGAACACAGTCACAGAGAGAAGACTCAGAGAACTGTTGCTGCTAGCACAAATAACTCTGGATCTGCCTCACTTGGTCTTCCTGGTTGCCGCAGAACCCCGTCTCCAGTACTTCCGAGCAGCCTTGTCCTTCCTGTAGCAGAAACCGGCAGCAGCCCAGCAAGAGAGAGGCCTTCGTCAGCAGCCAGCCTTACTGAGTTCACAACCTCCCTGTCTCTCGATCACTCCCCTGGCTCCAAAAACGTGTCTGCTCCCTGGTCGTCCACACAGGACAGCACATCCTCACAAGAATGTAACCGTGACAACGACTCTGATGCAAAGAGGAAGCGCTTCTGCAACACATACAACATCCTGAGTAAATCTGGTCTGCTGGACATCACACTCCGCACCAAGGAGCTCCTTAGGCAGAACCAGAGCACCCAGAATGACCTAGATCGGCTCAGAAGACATACCGACCTGTTCCTCCAGGCCCTGCAGACCGGGGACTCCAGCATTTGTGTAAAGCTGCTGGCCAGTCTTCAGGAAGAGGAGAAGGAGAGGGCTCTTCAGACCAGCTCAAAGCCAGATCAGACCCATAGTAGTGTCCAGCAGTGATCCACATGGGGGGGTAGGTGTGTGCAGGGACAGATGGACCAAAAGTAATGCGCTCTACATTACAAACCCTCCCCCCCCCCAGACTGACAGACAGCTCCGTGGCCTACATTCAGCTGCCGCTGCCGCCTTAGGGTCCTGACACACCAAACAACCCAAAACATAAAGGAAATTAGGTCAGAATATTTGTTTTCTCAGATTAACTACTAGATTATAGGTACCAGGTAGATTCTAGTTAACTAGCAGTCTGCTTCTGTGTGAAAGGAACTGTGAACAAATGTGGTTTTTAAAATACTCTGTTTGCCTCAAAGTTGTGAAACAACCAAATCAGGAGCAGAACCTGTTCTCCCTTTAAGATTATTTGTTTATATCACTTCACCCTCTTGAGATCGGTCTGTGTTTTGAAGTGGCTGCGCTGTTAAAAGCAGCCTGATAAACCACTGTTGGTATGTTGAGACCAAATAAGGCCAGAGACGAGTTTCCCTGTTGGGCCAAGGTCTCGTCTACAGAAAACCAAAACACCCTCCGGAGAACCTGATGGAAAATGTATCTCTGTCCCCAGATTAAGCATCAAATATTAGATATTCTCTCATATATTACCCCAAATCCCTGAGAATAGATGAAGAATGCTGGAGTATATGAAATAAAAAATGAACAGTAGCAACTCTTGTTCCATTACATTAAAGATATTGGCCAGACTCGGCATTAAAATAGTAGAAATTCAGTATAACTACACTTTACCATCTGAACTGGGTTCCGTTTGTCATTTTAAGGAATTTTGTCATAAATCATTAAAGAAAATCAAAATCTTCTCCAGATAGTGAAGAACTGTGTTCTGCATACGTCACTCCAGCACGTAAAACAAGGTAGCTGCTGATGCTAGTATTGTGAATAACTGTATTTTGTTTACTTTCGTGCTCTTAATAATTACAGAAAATTGCGTTTACAGCTGCAGCAAAAGGTCTGAGCCGTATGTCTGTGTCCTACACGCATTTTTAAATCAACAACCATCCATAAATCCATCTAGAACCGCACCGGTACTTCTGGACTGCGAGTCCTGTTAGCATGACTGCAGCAAAACTGTTAACCGTGTTAGCTCTGATAAGGAAAAAACAAGTCATTTGGGAAAGCTATGACACACACGGATATAATCTAAAAGATGATCCCCATAACAATAGATCTTCCGTGGACCAGCAGAACGTCCGTGCCATCCTGGATTAGTGCAAACGAGTCAAACTAAGGAGTTACTCCAGCATCAGGAAGATTCACTCTGGTGAGCTATTAGTTATATATTTTCCGGAGTTATATCAACAAATGCATTGAGCTGTAAAACTGGCAGCACACACATCTGTAGATTACTGAATTATACTGGGACACATGATGGAGCTAAGACCAGCTGAGAACTCGTCAGCTTAGAGCTCCCGGTGGAGCACAGAAATGAAATATTTAACAAAAGTAGACAAAATGTACCGATTTTGGTTCTGAAGATGAATCGGGTCGCGGGTCTTCAGAGTCAAACGGTCTAACACATGTCTGCGCCTCCGGTAGTGATATCCAGCTAGCGGGATCGGAGTTCGGTTGAACTTCTACGGTAATCCAATATCTGTTCTTGTCGCCGTATCCCAGAGAAAAACCTAATCTGACCGACTAGCAGAGGCTTCAGAAGCTACGTCTGACTGATGAAACATTGTTCTCTGCTATAACGCTAACGCAGAAACACTGGAGTCGGGGGTTGTTTACTAGAACGGTTTCAGCAGAGCTCCTTGTGAAACGTCACCAGCTGCCCAGGGCTTAGACCGGAAGTTGGTTTGTTTTTCCTGCACCAGTCAAAAACATCAGATTTTCTTAAAATTTCAGCCGTGAAAATCCCAAAACCTTTTTCATCTGAGGTTTTAATACTTCGTTACACATGCTGTTCAAAGGAAAATTGCCTCTGGCCGATATCTTTAAGCCAACAAAGAATTGTTTTAATAACTGGGTCATTAGTTTGAGTTTTCAGGAGGTAAATCAACACTGTTTTTATTAGTGGCATAATACAGCAGAGTTACAGTTATAAAGAAAAAACAAAGTTCAGAGATTCCTCGTGCCAGGGTGAAGGTGTTAATGTCCTTGGTTCCCGGCAGAAGTTCCTGTTTAAATAAAGGCTCGCTGTGAGGATGTTCACATTGTGAAAGCTAATGATTAGCTGCTTTATGCAGCACAGATAATCTAATGTTAAAATCCTGTTTTTCCTCTTTATTTTAAAAATTTCTTTACTAAAGTTTAGTAATGACTAAAATTACTTAGAGCCTCTAAAATATAAAAGCGTAATGTCCAAATGAATTAGTTGATGGATTTTAAGGGTTATTTTTAACTCATATTTGTGAATTATGGCCTTAAAATTCAAATAAAAGGTGTCACTTAGAATTTGCACTAAAGCTTTTGTAGCAGAATTTAAGGCAGCTCAGAAGTGAAAAGTGGCTGGAAAATATCGATCTTTTTATATTAAGTAGCCTACAGCAATGTTCATCTGCTCACTATTCATCTGGTGCAGCTTCAATGCAAGCTGACGGACATGTTTTACATATTCATACCGTGGTTTTGTATTCTAATCTTCTCTGTGCTTATTGAGTTAAAAGTGATATTGGAAGAAAAAGGGGCGCTGTTGCCTTTTATAATCGCATGTCATTAAAATATCTGTAAATAAATGTAACGAGTACAGAAATGTTCTAAAATGTTTCTCTTTTACCGAAAACTTTCCATTTCTTTTGTGTTGATCTTACGATGATGATGCTTTGACATGGCTGCTGTATTCAACATCAAAGATGGTTGAGGTCATTACTCCTCATTATCATAAATGCAATGCAACATTTCCAGGGTATCTGCAGGTCCTTAAAAAGTTAAATTTGCTTTTCCAAATTTAAGGCCTTAAAATTCTTTAAAAATGACAAATAATCCTTAAATAGTTTCCAAAGGTCTTAAATTACCAAAGACCCAGTAAACGATTCTTTTATTTCTATAAAATTTTCGTGAATTTCTAGTTAGTTCAGCCTTTTTTGTGTATGATATTGGCGTAAGCGGAACTGTACACATTCGGTTGGTTGTGAAAGGGGGCTATTTTTAGATGAGCACGCTAGTGGGTGTTAGCGCTATGGGGAAGTGCAACATTAATGGTAACTGGATGGCTAATCCCACATTCACGACGTGGTTAGCACCGGTTCCAGGCAATAGCTGGAAATTATAGATTAAATTTAATTTAAAAAAATATCTTGAATTTGGTCAAAGTGGCCTTAAAAAAGGTCTTAAAAAGTCTTAAATTTGGCTCCCTTAAACCTGCAGATACCCTGATTTCAGCAAAAGAAAACACCTTTAGATACACCTTTTGGGTGTCGGTAGTTTATGTCCTCCAGTTGTTGTGGTGGCTCATGGTCCTAAAATGTTCTAATGAGTCGAGTTTCTGTTAAACAATCTTTATCTCTGGAAAACTGCTCACTACTAGTCAGTTGTTTGCCTCCAGCTCTGTGATGCTGAAAGAGTTTAATCGGTTTGAATGCTGCATGAATTCTCCAACCCGTCTACCAAAACGGCAATATTTTCTGTACTTTGAAGGGCCTTTCTATAAGTTCATGGTTTACTGAACCGCCTCAGTTCGGAGAAATTACTTGTAAATTACACAGGACCAATGAACTAATGGCTACTAGCCATTGTCAGAACTTCAGGGCATAGTCTGGGATGGAGAAACTGACTAGGAGATATCAGGTCCCAGTCCGCTCAGCCCTTTCAGGATCTTGCACAGACGTCAGCATATCGCGACTGCTTCGGCAGTGGGTGATGTCGCTGATGAGCGTCCAAAGAAACATTGATGTTAAAGGCATTTATTCTGTTGAAGTTTATCATAATTTAATCCATTCAGAGGACGAGAGCAGCTGTGTGAAATAAAATGTGGCATTCATTGACCAGAAGAAACAGTTTTTTACGGCGCTCAGAGATAACGAATGGTGTGTTCGATAAACCTCAGAAGTCGGAACTGGGAATGACGTCGCACCCAGGTTGATCGCATTCTGGTTGCTGTAATCGGACAGGCGACGCCCTCGAAAACTGCACTTTTGTTTGTTCTCAACAAACCGATGACTAATAAACCCATTTAAAGCTCATTTTCAAAAAATATTTGAAGAGAAACTTTTAGTTGCAAGGGCTGCATGTTAACATTGATTTTGAAGCTCTTATAACTGTGTCTTGTAAAATTAACGCATTTCAACCAAAACTTACTGTTGATATGGAGAGCTGCCATTTTGGATGTCAAGGTCGGAGTTCTGAAATCCTTCCGTTTCTGACTGGGCGGTCCGACTTTGGGGTGCATTTCATTTCATTTTTCCTACTTGAGATTTCCGAGTTCAAGAACAAATCAAACGCACCCAAAGCCCCGTTAATTAAGCCATCTAGAGGGAATTTCCCCGTGTTTCCTGTCTGTAGTTTAGTTTTAGGTGTGGTCGCTACCCATTTTCTTTTGTTTTCATTCTGCTTCACCAGCAACTCTTCAAATTTTACTAATGCTGGTTGTTTTGAACGTCTGATGTAATTTCCTACTGAGTTACAACCAATCAACGTGAGTTAACAAAAAGCTCCACTCAGCTACTCCACCGGGCGTTTCAAATACCCACCCCCGATCAGGTACTCGTTCCTGAAAATGGCCTTCGACCGACCCGGTCAAGTGGAGACATGCGGGATGTTGGGAAGTTCCCATAAATTTACCCCGAAGTTCCATTAATGGAAATGGGGGCTAGTCTGAGCTTAGCCAAGATCAAATAGTGTGAAATTTCATTCATTAGATGTTTTATTAAGCTGTACGCCACTGAAAATTTTACATTATGTGAAAATTTACATGGGATTCTGGGTAAATATCTAAGTGCAACAGTTTTGTTGCACCTGGTGTCAAGTTCAGAAAATCCTTGTCAGAATTTCTGCAGAAAACACACAACAGGGAAATGAATGCTTGCTGAACCACTTTGGCATTGGCTGCACTCAGACAAGCATGTAAGACATGAACTCCGTTTCTCTTAACTGAGGCTGCTCAAGTAGGTAAAACGACGAGCGTCACTTTTACGCAGAAACTTTTAAAAATATTTTCCAGAAGAATCAAACGTAGAAACATATTTTTAACAAACGACAAAATATGTGTTGGATATTTTTTTGCCTTCAATTATTTCTTCATTTTTTAAATTTAAAGCAGATGTTTTACATTCATGAACACATGTTATTTCCTTATACTGTCAGTGTTGCTATTATGAGAGAACAGCAGTTTATAAATGACACTTTTACTCAGAGCCTTAAGGGGACAATCCTAGTTTACGTTACTCAGCAAACTTGCTGAACAAGCTTTATTTTATACGTCTCAGATCAAAAACACTCATCTGAGATGATATTCGTTCAATAACAGGATGATCAGTGACGTTTTTATGAAAAGTTTGGTTTAGTTCAGATGTGTCGTGGTTAGTTGTTGCTCACATTGGAATAATATTCATGTTAATCAGCACAGACTACACTTTCCTTTTATTGGTTGCTTTGATTGATTTTTTTGTTTCCTTTTCAAAAGTGCTGGAACTTTTTTATTTAAAAACATAAATGTAATTTGGCAAAGGTGCTAAAAGAGTTTGTAAGGGGGAAACGGCAGGTTTAGTATTATATCTATGTCACCTGAATGTAGTCTGACTTGTTATCAGTTATAAGAAACCTCCACGGACAGAACTGTGCAACCATTTCAGTTCTTAATCTGTCAATCATGGTTGTGAAAGGATAACACGTTTTTGTACATTTGTTTTTGTTAGAATGTCGTTTTGTGTGTAATAAATATCATTTAACAATGTTTTTGTTGTATTGCTTAAACATTTTTGATTAAATGCATCAAATAACTTGTTTGTTATTGAAAGCAATGAAATTCAGGAGCAAAACTATAAGTAGTGTTTAGACATATTTCAAAAATATCTAGTCTTGTAAACTTTACAAAACACATTCTACGTTTTGTAAAAAAATAAAAATAAAATGGCTCTATTTACAGATTACTATAATAATACTCAAATGCACAAGCATACATGTGTCTTCAATACCGTCTAAAAAAATCTATACAAACACAGGGTTGGACCTCACTGGAATGTGGGAGGGTTACGGCAGTCCATAATGTCAAGTTTAGTCCTGTTGATATCTGGTTTGTTTTCCAGCTTGAATTTTCAACCTACAGCCAGTGGCGCTCCCAAGAGGTGGCCACCCCACTGTCTACACCCAGGGAAGTCCAGTGTTCTTCAATAAGTCATATCAATGTTTTTTATTTTATTTTATGAAAATGTATAAAGGAGAAATGAGCGTTTATTGCATCACTACAGGCTAAACTTTCTCAGATTTACCCCAAGGATCAATTTGGTGTGCTACTTAATATTTTCTCTGGCCCCATGGCCACCCCTATGAAACCATAGTGTCTGGGTAAAGTACAATGCTTGAGTTCACCAGTAGGAGGCACTAATACTACATAGAAACTTAAAATTGTGTTTTAACTATTAAAGTGACAGTGTGATTTTTTTTCTGGCGATAGGGGGCAGTAGATGCCTAAATCATTGCAAGCAAGCAGTACTTTTGTGTTGTTGTGTCTTACCAACGGATGCCCATTAGGGTCAAAAAGTCCTGAGGAGTGCAAACTTTAGCAAAAATAACAAACACGTGAGACTTCCTTTCATCACTGGCAAAAAGTGAAGAGGTAGATGAGTAAAACAACATTTAAGAATGACAAAAGCTTTTTAACCTTTTGTTACAAATCAGTAAATGTATTTTGTCCTCAGTGGCCCCCGTAGAAGGAAACATGGCATCTAATATGGCATCACCCAGAGACTTAGACCCACTCCCATGTATTTTAGACCTCATTTTTGTGTTGTGTCACAAAGCCACCAATATTTTTCAATAACTGGGCATCATTTCATTCATTCATTCATTTCAAGACTTGGTGTCGTCTTTGAAAATCAGAGTGGTCACACAAAATACTAAATGTAGTCATTTTTGTTGTGGGGTGTATTCGTTTTTGCTTCAACCCATTTTAGTCAAACTGAATATTTTGTGGTCTAAGTTGTATTATTAACCTTAATTTCCTGTTATGGAGTTGGGTTAGGGTTAGTGTTCAATATAACCCAGCCTTGGGAAAATTCTGGAAATTGTTCATTTGTTCATTGAGGTACTGATTAAATTCACACTTTTTAAAGAGGGTGTACTCGTTTATGCTGAGCACTGTATGGCTCCAGGTAGTCACTGTGTTGTTTGGTGACATGGTGTATACCACAGTCAATATGGACCAGAGGAAGTGAAGGCAAGAGTTGCCTCAGGAGATTAGAAAGAAAATTATAGACAATCAGGTTGAAGGTAAAGGCTATAAGATATGTCCAAGCCGCCAGATGTTCGTGTGACTATAGTTGCACACATTATTTAGAAATTTCAGATCCATGGAACTGTAGCCAACCTCCCTGGACGTGGCCACTGGAGGAAAATTGATGACAAATCAAAGAGACTGATAATCCGAACGGTAAAACAGCCCAGAAAAACTTCTGAAGAGATCCAAGGTGAACTTCAAGCTCAAAGAACATCAATGTCAGATTGCACCGTCTGTTGCTGTTTGAGCCAGAGTGGACTACGTGGGAGACGACCAAAGAGGACACCATTGTTGAAAACCAATCAGAATGTCAGGATCTGCTCCTTCTTGATTTGACGTGTTGTCCTGTCTCCCCTCGTTAAGTGTTTATTGGGCGACGGTGTTTAGTGTGGGCGACGGGGGCACAGGAGTTAAGTGCTCGCCCCGTAATCGGAAGGTTGCAGGTTCAAGCCCCGCTCAGTCTGTCGCTGTCGTTGTGTCCTTGGGCAAGACACTTAACCCACGTTGCCTGCTGGTGGTGGTCGGAGGGACCGGTGGCGCCAGTGCTCGGCAGCCTCGCCTCTGTCAGTGCGCCCCGGGGCAGCTGTGGCTACATCGTAGCTCATCCCTACCAGTGTATGAATGTGTGTGTGAATGGGTGAATGACTGACTGTGTTGTAAAGCGCCTTGGGGGGTTCCAGGACTCTAGAAGGCGTTATATGAAATACAGGCCATTTACCATTACCATTTACCATTTATTGAACTCACCTGCCCCTTGTTATCCTACCCACCGGATTCCTGATCATCATCATGTTTTCCCTCTGTTAGTGCTCATCTGTGTCAGATCCTTGTCTGGTCTTCTTGCTGTATCATCCCACCTACCATCATTCATATTAAACAGTTCTTTTGCCTGCCAGTCTACCTCCTGTTCCTGCTCACCTGCTTTTGGGTCCTATTGCAACCACCTCTACTCCATGACACAAAAAGCCTGACTGGAATATACCAAACTACATGTTGACTAGCCACAAAGCTTCTGGGAGAATGTGGTCAGATGAGGCCAAAATTGAGCTTTTTGCCAAAGCAAATCAGCTGTATGTTCTCAGATAGAAAAAATGAAGCATATCAGGAAAAGAACACTGTCCCTATTGTGAAACATGGAGGAGGCTCTGTTATGATATGGGGCTGCTTTGCTGCAACTGGCACAGGGTGTCTTGAATCAGTGGAGGGTATAATGAAATCTCAAGATTATTAAGGGTTTCTGGAGAGAAATGTGCTGGCCAGAGTGTAAAAGCTCGGTCTCAGTCACAGGTCATGGGTCTTGAAACAGGACAATGATCCAAAACACACAGCTAAAAACACCCAAGAATGGCTAAGACAAAAACATGGGATTATTTTAAAATGGCATTTTATGAGCCCTGACGTCAGTCCTATCGAGCATCTTTGGAAGGAGCTGAAACATGCTGTCTGGAAAAGACGCCCTTCAAACCTGAGACAACTGGAACAGTTTGTTCATAAGGAGTGGGCCAAAATATCGGCTGAGAGGTGGAGAAGTCTCATTGACGTTACAGGAATCATTTAATTGCAGTGATAGCCTCAACGGGTTGTGCAACAAAATGTTAAAGGTGGAATATGGAACATTTTAATAAAAAGCTCTATTTAATCAAAATAACTCCACGGGGCATTCAGAGATGTGAAGAATGAATGTATCGTTTTTCCTATAAAAGCTATAGTTAAACATTTTGACGGACATGGCACTGGGTTTGTGTTTACATCTACCAGCCAATAGGTGCACTGTTGCGGTAAAAAGAGAGCTTGGACAGCCAAGACTGGAACAGTGTAAAATGGCAGACTCCTTACGTCAAGCAGCTGATTCTGAGCCCACAAGATGTTCTAATGGTAAATACTGATGTAACAAAAACAACGAATTAATAGAAATTAGTCCTTACGCTGTACGATTGGTCACTGAACATGGTGCAGGCTGGTCAGTGGCCACTGCACATGTCAGTAGTGAAACAAAACATTGACTGCTGGAAAATGTGTTCTGTTGTTGCACTACCACCTCCAAACACTAGATGCTGCTATAGTGTCCGTGTTCCATATTCAGCCATCATTCATGTCCATGCCTGTTCCATTATTTTTTTAAATAATACCATTGAAGCATGGTTGAAAAGCAATATCTGACTTTTAGTGTTTTTATTTTTAATCACTTGTCATATTCAAGTTAATTCTCTGATCGTTGTGGGCATTTCTTTCATTGACCTAAGGATACTAACAATTTTGTCCACGTCTGATTTGCAGTTGTTTTAATTACTAATTTTTTAAGCTAATAAATCCCAAATTAGACAGTCAAAACTCACACAATTAATTTTCATTACAACTGAAGTACAACGTGTGTGACTCAGGGTGTAAGGCAAAGCGAAAATAGCATTTACAGCCATTCTCTCCAGTCATTTTTTTTCCGGGGTCCCATGACTTGACCGGAAAGGGAGGAGATATAGCCCCTCCCCCTCATTTCCATATATGGTATTGTTGTGCCCCTTCCCCGCCCACTCTACTTGCTGCCGCCAAGACCTCCTGTTTTGAGCCATGCTAAGTTTCCTTCACGCCGTGTCGCAGTTACTCTGCTGTTAAAATTTAGACAAATGTGTTTTATTATAAACATAAAGGAATTAAATACGCGTTCAGTTGGTTGGCGGTTAATTTAAAAAAAGCGTACGGTCATCGTTGGGTATACTATTTCTTTCTTCGGCTAACCTTGCTAGCTAGGCTAAGGTTACCTGTCATTGCTTGTTTTGTGCAAGACGGTAATTTAGAGCTTCGACACTACTTGATTTTAGTTTATTTGTAACGGACTGCAGAGGTAATACCATGAGTTTGACTCGAAGATGACCTGCAGCTTATAAACCACAGACAAATCCACATCTAGTCGATGAAATTGCAGGTTTGTGTTTTTATCATCCTTCTGCTTCCTTGTGAGCATAGCTGCAGGTGATAACGTATTGTTTTAGTTTTCGTTGAACAGCCCGACTTCCGCAGACTCATGCTTTCTGATGAGCTTGACTCCAAACCGGAGGTAATGTTTGTATCATTATTTAAAAAAAAAAATCAGAACAATAAGACGAGAATTTTGTAAATGACAATAACGTGGTTGTTGTTTTTTCTGTTAGCTACTGGTGCGGTTTGTCCAGAATGCCTCCATCCCGCTGGTGCAGAGTTTGGAGGACTCTGAAACCAAACACTCCTGTCTTCCTCTGCTGACGTCGTCTGAGAGCTCGCTGTGCTCTCCTCTGGAGCTCACAGGTCGACACATCCATTGAGCCTCATACCTCAAACGGGACATGTTTCGGGACATCACAGCTCATTTCTGTGTCCTGAATGTTAATCAGAACTCAGAAACACACATTTCACTCTCTAGTTGAAGGTTCAGCTGTTTATTTTTACTGAAGTGTACAAACTCAGTGGAATCAGCGCTGCACATCAATGCTGCATATCTTTTAAATGTTGTTCATTTTATCCATCATTTGAGTGTAACCTGTAACTAGTGAGGGAGTCGGATTGTAAACAAAAGCAGTAAAGGTTTGTTAGAACAATACCGATTTTCACCTATAAACATTTTGCATTCATTACAAAAATAGATCCTGCTTAAACCCTTAGCCCATATAATTTTGCTTTTGTTTTCCACCATTTTCAGCCAGTTCCATCTTCCACCTCGGGTTGGAAAATATTTACTTCAAAATGACTGATCCAGAAAATCAGCATTATATCTAGTCTGTCTATGCTGGATTAGGGATGGAAGAACACCAATCGTTTATTTTAAACCCCCTAAGCTGGGATGTGGTTTAGACGTCGGCCTCAATAACGTCTGTTGCTTGCCACATATTATTGTTTTTTAAACAGATTTTAAGGGGCAGTAACATTTCCTGATGATGATAAATACACAGAAAGCGGATCTATTTTTTTTGTACAAATATAGTTTGTTTACATTTCATACAGACTTAAATACCTTATCTTGCAAACCATGTTTATTGGTCAAATTCCACAAAACACTTTCAGATCCCAAGTTAAATCACTTTGCAAGCTAAGTTTGAGTTTCATGTATATTGAAACAGGAAATCTAATACACATCATCTTTCCCATCAGACGGAAGCCTGAGCCATGAACCAGAGACTTCTTCCCCTCTTCCAGAGTTCGGAGGTGTGTCCGAGCAGAGCCCTTTGGTGATCCAGGCACCCGCTCAACCACAGGCCTCGCCGAGCCCCCCGGCCATCCTGCACGACCTACAGCAGCCAGACAGCACCTCCTACGTCCTCCTTAACCTCGCAAAAGGTTTGTTTTGTCACTTCAAGAATGATTTCTGCCTATAATGGAGCTAAATGAACCACGATTAATTAGACCAAGTTTAAATTGATGCTAATTTTTTACTTGATTTTACTCTTTCTAAGGCATCACAGCCTCTTCAGAGTCCCTGATCTTTGCTGCCGATGGCACGGGGGACGATGAAGATGATGGGGTCTCAGCCGGAGATTATGGGATGGATGGCAGCGCCCCCTGGTATCTGAGGGTCCAGGAGCTAGCCCATGACAGTCTGATCGCTGCTACACGTGCACAACTTGCCCGAGACGCCAAGGCCAGTCAGGACGCCAGAGCTGCAAGCATCAGTAAGGATAAAGAGACTCACCAACACACATATTTTAAATTAAAAGAACCATCTTATAAAATGGTGTTCTGATTTTTTAATAGAAGCATAAAATCACGCTAAAATAAACTAGTGACGTTAAGAAGCTCACAGTTGTGGGAAGATCATCTGCAGGCATCAAAAGATGCGTAATCACTCCAATCTCCAGTGACTGAAACTTTGTTCAAATCTTCCCATAAGGCTCTGATTCTAGCTGAATTTGTAGCTTTTGTTTTGATGGATTTATAAGTTTGACAGCAGATTCCTGTGGGAGCTGTAACTATCACAGTATTTCCTGGCATGAGTCATTATCCAGTTCATCTGCTAATCAATCAGTCAATCAATCAATCAATACTTTATTAATCCCAGAGGGAAATTAGAGTTTCAGTACACACAATTCAGAGATCAGGCATACATGGGCTAGACACATGACATGACATAATATGAAAACTAGGGATGCAACGATACCACTTTTTCCCAAACCGATACGATACCGATACTTGGATCTGAGTACTTGCCGATACCGATTACCGATACTTCTACCACACAAAAAAATGCAATGATTTGGAATACAGATTTTATTTTCTTCTCTGCTTTCAACAGGAAAAGACTGTGAGGTACAGTGATCCCTCGCTACTTCGCGGTTCGTTTATCGCAGATTCACAACTTCGCAGATTTTTTCTTTGGAGCCTTATTCAAGGGAAATTCACCGATTCACGGTATTTTTCTATGCGAAATATCAAGAAATTCCTGTTTTTTTCATCAATTTCATCATAAAATGCACTTTTTGTAATAAAACTATTAAAAAAAACAAGTAAAAATACAGTACTATGTAAAGGGAGGGTTTTAAAAGTCTGAATACTGAATACGTACCTGTTAAATAAATACTGTAAATATGGTGTCCCTACTTCGCGGATTTTCACCTATCGTGGCCAGGTCTGGAACGCATCTACCGCGATAAACGAGGGATCACCTGTAGATAAAAAGTAAAATATATGAATGGAAATCATCACAAAACTAAAATATTAGGTGAACAGAAATGACAAGTTACAGTGAAGCCATTTTCAAGCAACTGCATTGGTATCGGTTCCTGGTATCGGTTAACTTTTACCGATACCGATGCAGGCATCATTATCGGTGCCGATACCGATGCCTCCATCAGTATCAGTGCATCCCTAATGAAAACCAGAGAGAAGAGCAGTCTTGAAAAGTCGAACAGGAAAATAAACAGAGGGCAGGACTAATGGAGAAACTTCATGATGACTAAAAAGTGAAATAAAAAATCCGAAATAAAAACCAAGGCAGTAAATTAAAGATGGAGGATAAAAGCTCATATAAAGAATAAAATGGTAAAAACAAGAAAGTTCTCGTTGTCTGACGTTACTTCTGAAGTAGGCTTGGGTTGTATCCAAGTTTTAACGCCGTCTAGCTTCCTCCACATTTTACCACGGTGTACGGTATTACCTGTGCTAATTTAACTATGATGTCATAAGACTCAACTTCACCGTTCAGAACGTGAATAACAAACACTATTACTAAAACAATAACAACATAACACACATAACATCAAGAACTTTTTCTAAAAAGCGGCTTATAAAAAGATTTTTCGCCTGAAACACCAGCATGTTTACCTTTTTCCGGCTTCAGTCTAGGATGTTGAGGACAGGCTGCTGAGAACCCGTTTGGATGAGCTTGTGGCACCGGCGTACGGGTGCTTTGGTACTTTTGGGCTAGTCGCGGCCTCTGGGAAAGGCTGGATGCATATTTCCACGAGAAAAGCGCGTGGTCCTCTCCTTAATACATTTTGTTTGCACAAATAACCTCACAGAGATTACCGGCCCTGCTTTTAAGTTTGCTTTGAACCCATAATAGTCCCAAAGTTGTGTTCTGTTTAGACACCGAGTCAGCTGGGGCGCGGGCTGCCATTTTTCTCTCGGCGCTGTCACAAGATGACGGCACGTTCATAAACTTTATGGAACGACTCTAAAATTTGCACGAAACATTTTAAACAATTTAAGTAAAACTAAAAATTCAACCATGCATCTGTTTCATACATTAAATGATCTTCATTTATCTTTATTTTAGGGCCGGGACTTTAACGCGCTAATTACGATTAATTAATTAGAAAAAATAACGCGTAAAAAAAATTTAACGCATTTAATCGCAGCTTGCATTTCAAGCACGGCGGAACCTTTGTCATTGCACGATTTCCTCGTAGACTGAATATCACTGACGCACACAACAATGCACAGTGCTAATGGCTACTAAAACGGAATAAAAACAGAAAGAAGTTGCCTTGCTCGGACTGATGCAGGATTTAGGAAACACGTCCGCCTCTTTTCTTAACTTGGAGAAAAAAACTTCCAGACAACAACGGAGTCCGTGTCGCGGACATTTTTCAGAGATCGTCTCTGCTGCTCAGGTGTTTTCTATTTGTAATTATAAATTTGAGTTGATTTGGGTTTTGTTTCATATCACACAGTGACATTTGAATAATTAAAATGCATTTTTTTTATTAAACGCTTTAGTTTACAGTAATAACCATGTCTAATGTTTGATTCTCTGTCTCATAATTTTAATGAAAAGTTTTACTTTGAGAGCACATTTTCCTGAACGATTAAAATGTGATTAATTTAGATTAATTAATTACAAAGCCTGTAATTAATTAGATTAAAATTTTTAATCAAGTCCCAGCCCTACTTTATTTTTTAATCTCCATCTCCTGCGAGCGCTGTTTTTTTCATGACGTATTGGAACTGACACGTTGCTGTTTTTTAACACCAGTGTCGGTACAGGATCTGCTCTGGTGCAAGATCGGCTCGGGGTCCTTCGACTGCCGATGACGTCAAAGTACGGCAAACCCACTCGGACAAAATACACTACACATCTTTATACTGTTGGAAAGAATTTAGCAGTTTCGTTATTAAAATAATGTTTCTTAAGACGTAAGTTTGTGTTTATAATGGTATGTGTAAAATAAAACACTATTTTGTATTCATAATGTTGAACTCCTCTTTGAGCACATCCCTTGAAGGATCATAGGTATTAGCAACACCTGTGAAATTGTATTAGCAGGAAAGAAGTGTGTCCCGTTTATTGAAGTATTTTGTGTTTAGTTTTTGACGTCTTGTCCATACGTAGTTCAGGTACGCTCATAGCTGCTAGCCAAAACTCTGGAGTTAAAAGTTTTCTGGCTTTACTAAAATACTGGTCTGTACTTTTTTGATTGATGGTAGTTTTACTTTCTATTAGACTCCAAATGTAATCATTTGGCAAGTTTCTAATTCATAATTTGTAAGAATGTAATCGGTGATATTAGCATTAGCATTCCTATGGGTTTTTCCATGTATATTAGCATTGTGCTAACCACTTGCTGCCAAATTGCAGCCTTTGCGATTAGAAAATCTCCTTTTGTCACATCGCAATTTAATTGCACATGCAGTTAATCGTTCAGCCCTAATATACATGCAGCTCTATGCTAAAAGTGTATTTTCAAAGAGGTAATGATGGATTTCTTTGTAAAAGTTGTCCATCTTTCCAACAGAAAGATTAGCCTGGACCAACGTAACGTGATAACAACGTAACTTCCGTAAGGTTCATGTTCAGCCAATCAACTACTTTGACGTCATCGGCAGTCGAAGGACCCCGAGCCGATCTTGCACCCGAGCAGATTCTGTACCGACACTGGCTGTATACGGTAATACCGTAATACCTCCCAAGCCTATTCTGGAGTGACTGGAGTGTTCTAGGTGGTGGTGAAGACGGAGCCAGAGCATTAAAAGCTTTAAGAACTAACAACTAAACCAGTTCTGTAAGAGAAGGGGAGCTGAAACAGATTTTTGTCACCAGTTCCCGTCAGTTTGTGGCCTCTATCCCGCATGTTCTAGATGTTTCGCTGCTCTGACACCTGGTTGGTGAAGGTGAACGATCCCCAGCATGTGAAGTTCTGCAGAAGCCTTTTAATCACTGCTGTATTTGAATCAAATCGTCTGAAACATACAGGACAGTGGCACCTGAGGTCTGGATTAGGTTACGCTGCGGTGGCCATCTTGGATTCTAAAACGTACTTGCAGTCAGACGCAGTGAAAATGTTGAGTTTTAATAAAATCTGTCTGCGATTTTTGATAATTGGCTGAAACGTTTTAGACATAATCATCACTTCCACTTTAGCAGGTATTACATGTTTGCAGGTTAACTGTGTTTGCTACGGGAATCTCTTGCAGATTTTAGGAAGTACTTTTAATCATTGAGGTATTCTGTTCTTGCATTGTTCTTTGATATGAGGCGACCCTTTATTTCCCAACTTTTGACTCGGAGCAGAAGTCGGGACTCCATCACAAACCATCATCAGGCTGCCGTCAGATGCAGAATTTTCCCGTGACGTTAAAAGCTCTAATCTATGTGTCTGATCTTTGGACATCTCCTGAATCCAGCTGGAGGTTGGAGTTAAATTATATCGGGATGTTTCTGTCACCTCGCTTCTCCGCTGCAGGTTTGTTTGAGATCATCTCCACCCAAATTAGAAAGCAGAGCATTAAATTCTCTTTATTTCTGCTTTGTTTGGGTTTTTACATTCTGTAAAATTGCACAAAAGCTTTGGAAAATTGGATTGTCAAGTTTTCTAACACTAACCCACTCCAGTGACTGCCTTTAACACCATTTTCCACCTAAATTTAATAAAACTCTTTTCTTAGATACCCTGGACTCCGCGTGATCCTAAAGTGCTGTAATTGCACTAATTCTTTCAACATGAATCTCTATTCCTGCACAGATCTGCAGCCTAGCATATGTTAAGGGTGGTGCTTCTCTATGCGTGGAACTAAACTGCTGAATCTCAGCTGCTCTAATTGATGCCCCCCCACTAAGTTGCATTGAAAGACGAGTTCCCTCCAGCTCGGGGCCATCAGCTATAGATGCATTACTGCTGGCACATCACAACCACAATGGGCGCTGCCGCAGATGCTCAAAGCAGGGCGTCTGGTCGGGTTGAAGGGTCTTGATTGCATTCAGCTCTGAATTGTTTTCTTCTGCAGCGGGTCTCCGTCAGCGGCCGGTGATTTTATGGAGTCAGACTTCAGAAAGGCTGGCCACCTTGCACTCTTGGGTTGATTACTGCACAGCCCCTGCTCACTTCTCTCCTGGTTGCCTAGGTGACCACACACACAGTTTGTTGGAAGACGGGGACAAGCAGGAGCTACCCGCCCGAGCCAGCCGCCCCCTCTCCAAACAGATCCTGCGCTGTTCGTTCGAGGGCTGCTGCAGGACGTTCACATGGCCGGCTCACCTCAAATATCACCTCAAAACACACAGGTAAAACAGTCCGGACACATGGGGGCGGAGCATGCAAGCATCGAGGCTAAAGAGGGAAGTTTCTCATTAACTGGGATTGAATCCAAACACAACCGAATGATCCAACCCCTTTTCTTCAGGCTCCTCCCCCTAAATATGCAGAACAATTTTGGTCGCCACAGAGACCCATGGACGTAATTTTGGGGGGGGACGGGGGGACATGTCCCCCCCACTTTTTCCAAATTCAAGTTTTGACCCCTGCACTTTTTACCATCCAAAAACAATATTACGCTATATTAAATTGACACTGGTTGAGCTCTATGACCAAGCGGAAAACAACCGTTTGTGTTGAAGCCTGTTTCCCATTGGAGCATACTGTAAAGATCCCCCCCCCCCCCCGTGTCCCCCCCCCACTTCCAAAGTGAAAATTACGTCCATGCAGAGACCATCAAACAAACATGAAATATGATGTTATCTCACCTTTTCCACCAGTTGTCAGCACCTTTTCTGTTGTAATTCCTAACGTAACACAACCACCTAACAATCGTGGAGCAAGATTATCTTGTCAAAGTTCCCCCAGCCAATCAGAAGCCAGATATGATGCTGACCGATGAGCTTTTTACACTGTGGTGCGCTTGTTTTATTGATCAGAAAATAGGTGGGTTTGGGCTGTGTGGGGCGCTAAATCTTTACTGGTGGCGTCGTAACACAAACTCGTGTGTCAGCATGATATTAGGAAAACCTGCGATACGCGCCAACAGCGATTAATATTGCGATGATGATATTACTCGAGATAAATAAAAACTTAACTCAGGAACAAAAATGATCAAAAACATAAAAAATTACCAAAAAAAATCATAAAAATGAGAAAAGCAAAAGGTGTGAGTAAAGCGAAAAAGAATAGGAACAAGAAAAGGGAGTCGGTGGATCCCGGGAAAAGCAGAACCAACAGAAAAAAACAGAACAAAGCTAACTCGGGTGTTTGCTAACCATCAAAATGAGGTGCTGCCCGCCTCGGGGGCGGGCATCTAACCTATGAGAACCCATCCAATTGGCCAAATGGGTGAAGAGCTCTTTTTGATTAGTTTAAAAATCATCATACTTCCGTTTGAGTGACAGAATGCAGTACGTGTAGGAAACATTTGAGCTGACCATTCATTGCGATATTTTATCTGTTCTTTGCGACATGCATATTGTACATGCTGATATGGCGCTAACGATATATTTGCGATATATCGTGCAGCCCTAACATCTGGCTTCCAATTGGCTGGGGGACTTGAGGCAGGATCGTCTCGCTGAAGAGTCCATTTTTACCTATTTGAATGGAAGAAGGAGTTATGAGTGATTCGAGAGAGCAGAACAAGAGTATGAAAACAAAACACACTCATGATAAAAACCATAATATTAACCCTGTTGTGTGTTACATGTTCAGGGCTGAGGAGCTTCAGAGGCCAAAGTGATGTAAATGGTCGTGTTTCCTGTGTCATACGGCAAGCAGTTTTAACCTAGGAGTGTCTGATCGTATCGGTCTACCATTAATATCAGCCAGTATTGGTATAGAAATGTAATACTGGACATGATGGGTTTTTACTCTTATGCACATGAATGAAGAAGGCTTCATCTTCTCTCTCTCTCTCTAAATGTGACAGCTTAGTTTTTCATTTTATTTGGCCCAACTTGTGGATAAGTAGGAATTTGCCCTGTTTATGTAGCTATGTGTAGCTAAACGGCTAACAAACCACTAAAATAGAGATCTTTAACCCCAAGGCTTGCTTTTCTTAACTGAAGATCTTAATGTTGTATTTCTATACAGAAATGGAGAAATGCATTTCTTATGCACACACATTGGTCATGGTTAGCAATTAGCCTAGCTGGAAGGGCTGTTTTTAGACAGGTGTGTGGTTTTTCTAATCAAGTCCAATCAGTATAATCCAGGGAATCCGCGGGTCCTTAAAAAGTCTTAAATTTGCTTTTCAAAATTTAAGGCCCTAAAAATCCTTAAAAATTACAAATAATCCTTAAATACAGTTTCCAAAGGTCTTAAATTACCAAAGACCCACTAAACAAGAATCTTTTATTTCTATAAAATCTTTGTGAATTTCTAGTTAGTGTTCAGCATTTTTTGTGTGTATGATGGTTGGCGTAAGCGGAACCGTACACATTCAGTTGGTTGTGAAAGGGGGCTATTTTTAGATGAGCACATTAGCTGGTTAAGCTAGTGAGAGCTTGCGCCATGGGGAAGTAAAAGTTTAATGGTAACTGGATGGCTAATCCCACGTTCGCGATGTGGTTAGCACCGGTTAAGCTTAAATTTAATTAAAAAAAGTAGCTTTAATTTGGTCAAAGTGGCCTTGAAAAGGTCTTAAAAAGTCTTAAATTTGGCTCCCTTAAACCTGCAGATCCTGTAATCAAACACAGCTGGACTCCAATGAAGGTGTAGGACCATCTCAAGGACGATCAGAAGAAATGGAAAGCACCCGAGTTAAATATGAGTGTCACAGCAAAGGGTCTGAATACGTAGGACCGTGTTTTCAGTTCGTTTTTAATAAATCTGTAGAAATTAAAAAGTTCTGTTTTCCTGTCAACATGGGGTGCTGTGTGTACATTAATGACGGAAGAAATTGAAATGATTTTAGCAAATGGCTGCAATTAAAACAAAGAGTGAAACGTTGACGGTGGTCGGAATACTTCCGTACCCGCTGCATTTAAGAAATCTGTAAATCAGATGTTCCTAGTCAAGATTCACATTTCAGATCTTCATAATGACACAAAGGACACTTCAGATATGATCAAGTAATTCTTCCTAGGACAAATGCCGTCACATCATTTCTCATGTCTTGAGTTTGCAGGAATGGACGTGATGAATAGTAGAAACCAAATTCTCCTCTCTGGATTTTGTTTTCAGCTGGTTCGTCTGCGTGTCTGTTACGGGCCATTCCCATCTGTACCGGGTCGGCCCGGGCCGGGTAGCCCCAGTCGGCCCCAGCCTGGCCCGGTTGATTCCACACATCCTTGCCTTAAGTCCATGTGGGCGGATTCTACCCACCAATCAGAGGCTTGCTCTAATGGAAGGTGTGAATTTGCTGTCAGCAGTGGGTGTGTTGGCCCTGGTCGGCCTGAAGCAGACCCCCTCGAGAAGAGGGCTGAGAATGAGCCTTGGTTGGCCCGGAAAAATACCAGGCCACCCAGATATGTAAACAACCTACGCTACCCGGCTCGGGCCGACCCGGTACTGATGGGAATGGCCCACTAGTGCACCCAGTAGCTCTGAAACGGGTCAAGAGTAAACTCAGAAGTTTAAACCATCGCTGGAAATCAGATGAGTGCCCTTAAGGTGGCCATCTCACAGAGGCTCTGATGTCACAGGGAAATTAGGAATAAAAGCTTTCGAAACTTATGAAATGCGTGTAATTAAACTTCAGTAACCATAGAAACGGCCGATAAAGAAGGATAACAGTACCCCAGGAGGTAGAGCGGGTTGTCCAGTCATCGGAAGGTTGCAGGTTCGATTGCAGCTCCCACCAGAGAATGCTGCTGTTGTGTCCTTGGGCAAGACACTTAACCCCTCCTGATGGTGGTTGGAGGGACCGGTGGCGGGCCTCACCTCCGCCAGTGCGCCCCAGGGCAGCTGTGGCTACATCGTAGCTCATCCCCACCAGTGTGTGAATGGGCAGATGACTGATTGTGTTGTAAAGCGCCTTGGGGGGTTCCAGGTAGAGGGCTGCATCGGGATTGGGTCCTGCGGAACCCGACACAAATCTTGCGGGGGCGGGCGGTGTGAATTTTGCTGCGGGCGGGAACGGTCGGCTGGATCGGGACGAGTATGATGGAGTCGGCAACTGATGTTGAAAAGAAGCTGAAACAAGGTCTTTATGACACAAAAACCAAAGCAAGGCAAGTCAGACATTTGGGGGAGTTTCTCCGATTGTGTTAATATTTCTCATTCAGGTCTCTCTTAGAAAAGCGACCTCGATCCATGCCTGATTACAGAGGAGAATAGAATATGAAACGGCCTTGATTTCATTAAGCCTTTAAGCACCACACAGTAGCTCCTTTATGTATTTTTTAAGAATTTTATAGTTTAAGTATGAGGAGTTATTTGAAATCACATGCGCCGAGGCGTCACCAGTGGTCCTGGTGACGCCTCGGCGTTAAAGGGTTAAAAACTAAATGAAAACAAAGTGCGTCAATCCTTGATGGAGATAACGGCGCAGTGCGCGGCTCTGGTGGTAATCAAGTTAAATTTTATCTCTTTCCAGCAATTTTCATAAGAAAACAGAACAGTTAAAGGCAGCGCTTGTGTTTTGTTCACCGGACAGTTCCCGTGTTTGACCGTTTCTTTTGACGGAGAAAGAATAGAAAGAATTACCCGACGCATGCAGACGAACTGACATTTTATTCGTTATGCACATCACAGATGTAGCTAAATCACCCAAGAAAAGATTCCCATCTGAACGTCTGAGCTGGACACTGCTCAGCGCAGCTCACTGTCGGTGCGTATGTACGGTGCACAGCGAGCTGAAGATGTGGAGAGGGGCTTGGAGCGCGTTGCAGAACCAGAGCGCATGCAGGAAGATTCCTCAGACTGAAGCGAGACTTGTCACTTAGAAAATGTTCCCTGATGATGAAACTTTGGCTGAATAGCGCTTGTTCCTGTCTCCAATGTGGCGACACATCCAGGAGCCGTCTGAGGAGAAGCCCAGAATCTCTCACATCTTCAGCTCAGGAAGCGCCGATATGATTACGACAAGCGTGACCCGTCAACCAGGTCTCACAGTAAGACCAGGTTGGGCCTGTTCAGGTTTACGCAGACAATCTTTACATAGAATTGGCATACAGGTGTAAAATTAATTTAGTAAAATATAAAGCATTTTATTTAAATATCCATTCATTATTTTACAAGCACAGAGAGCCGCATCAGATGGATGGAAGAGCCGCGGGTTGCCGACCCCTGGTATAGCCTATAAAATAACATGTTGAGGACGCAAACGCAATACATCTCTTTTATTGTGAGGTAATAATTTCTCCGAGTTTTGCGGTTGCGGGCGGTAATGGTCAGAAATTCAGCAGGAGCGGGATGAAGAAAACAGTCCCACGCAGGGCTCTAGTTCCAGGACTCTACCCTTGCAACTATTCACCTGCACCTGCAGGGTTTAGTCACTAAAGATATGTTGCTCATAAATGTGGTTTTGGTTTTTTTTGTATTTGCTCACTGTCCAGGAATGACCGGATGTTCATGTGCGGCGCTGAAGGCTGCGGGAAGAGTTTCTATGTGCTGCAGAGGTTGCAGGTTCACATGAGGACGCACAACGGCGAGAAGCCCTTCATCTGCAAAGAGAAGAATTGTGGCAAGAAGTTCACCACAGCTGGAAACTTGAAGAACCACAGACGGATACACACAGGTGGGATATCAGGGATATGAGAACAAACACGCTGCAGGCAATCGCTGACTCAGGTCACTGGCTCTTTTAATGCATCCATAGTGCATTCAAGGCTGGGGATCTGGAGTCAGCAGTGCTGCTGCCCCATTTCTCCTCAACGAGTCACAACACTTCTCTGTTGTATTTTATTCAGAGGCCTGTTAGTTCTATCGTCCAGATCTGTTTCGTTATCAGGTCATGTGGAAGGAAGGGCTGGTGCTGAACCAGCTGGGAGGCTTTAGGGGTTTATTTTAAAACTGAAGATTCGGTGGTAATAGTGGAAGGAAGCAATAATCAGTGTTGGGAATAACGCCGTTTAAAATAACGGCGTGCTGTTTTTTGGGTAACGGAATAATCTAATTATTACTTTTACCACTGTTGCAAGGCCGTTACCGTCTCTGGGGACGGAAGGTTGTGCGTTACTGTGTGCTTTCTGACCGCCACACTTCAGCTGCAGCCAGGGAGAGAGAGAGGTGTCGGTGACGCACTTACAAACACGATGATTGGCCGGGTGGGCGGAGGCCCTCACTCAGTCACAGCCTGCTGTAGACACAACAGAGCAGTAATGGGAATAACGCCGTTTAAAATAACCGCTTTACTAAAAAAAAAATGTTTTCAGTAACGAGCAAACTACCGTAAATCCTCTAATACAGGCCTGGACCTGTATTTGACTCAAGCTCATCAAGCTCCAGGCCTTTATTGGAAGGAGGGCCAGTATTAGAGGCAGGCCTCTATTTCTATTTGAGCAAAATGAACTAATGGTTCGCTGGAGTTTTTGACAATTAAAATTGCGCCCACATTTTCAAAGTTAAACACATTTCTTTTAACAACGGTTTCTGCTTCAGCCCCCCCCCCTCCTCCCCCTGCTTCAGCCCTCTCCCCCCTCCCCCTGCGCAGCGGCCGCAAACTCACTGATGCGCCTGCAGCCTCAGAGTTCCTGCTGCTCTAAACATTAAAATAATTATTTCATTTTCTGTTCCTCACTTCTGATGACCTTCAATGGTGTCTGTTTGTTGCAACCACCAGGTACAAAAACTAACTTGTTTTTATTTGACTATTTTTCTGTCCTGTCTGTTTATTATCTTCCTGCATCTCCTCTTAATCCTAAAGAGAAACTGCTACCTGGGTTCATATATATTCACCTCATGAGTTACCTTTGAACTGCAGTTCTAAAAGATCTACCGACCGCAAAAACAGCGGAGTGCTCCCTGCTTGGCGGCCGCATCAGTGATCGGTGCGTCACCGGAGGACAAGGTGATGCCCGCAGCGCCCCGCTCCACAGCAGCGAAATGCATCAGGTGCAAATAAAAGACAGAAAACATAAAAGGAAATGAACTGACATGAACGATCGCGTGTTAAATTAGTTTTTGAGGTGGCGACAACTGATTGTTACTGTGGCCGTGCTCAGGAGGCAGATTACCGACCGTAAAAACAGCGGAGTGCTCGCTGCTTGCAGGCCGCATCAGTGATCAGTGAGTCACCGGATGACAAGTTGATGCGCCCCGCTCCACAGCAAAACGCATCAGGCGCAAATAAAAGACAGAAAACAAAGGAAATGAACCGACATGAACGATTGCGTGTTAAATAATTTGGCAACACCTGATTGTTACTGTGGCCGTGCTCAGGAGGCAGATCTACCGACCTCAAAAGCAGCGGAGTGCTCCCTGCTTGGCGGCCGCATCAGTGATCAGTGCGTCGGAGGACAAGGTGATGCGCCCCGCTCCACAGCAGCGAAACGCATCAGGCGCAAATAAAAGACAGAAAACATTAAAGGAAATGAACTGACATGAACGATCGCGTGTCAGTACCGACGCTCTGGCAGAGCGCGTTGCCCCCCCGAGCGCAGGAGCTTGTCACCTGCTGACAGCAGGCTGCTGTCTTTTCCGAGGCCTGCATCTTGCCGGTAATTATCACGTGACAGCGACTAGTCGACGACAGGCATAAAAAGTCACTATAGTGAAGTTGACTAGTTCATACAACCCCTGCTGCTCCCCAGTGTTCTGCAGCGCACGTTCTCTTTGAACTTGATATCAAATTTTCGCCTCCTCTTCGTCTCCGCACGGTTAAAGTTACCCTCGCGGTCTATCACTGGCAAATCAAAAGTGAGACGATGACACAACCGCCCCCGTACTTGCTTGTTACCACATCCCACCCGGCCACGATAAGAGACCGGCCATTATTGGAGACCCGGCCTTTAATTGAATACCGGCCTGTATTAGAGGATTTACGGTAATTAATTACGTCTTCTTTTATGAAAACGTCGTTTCTGTTACTGATAAGGAAAAGCGTGCGTTAAGCAGCGCGGTGTGTTGAAGCTGTCATCAGCTGATCAGGAGCTAAAGAGGCAGATGTTTTCATCCAAGCGCATCACGGCCGTGAAGAACGAGGAAAACATGATGAATAGTCTACGGCTGCAGGTGTGGATCTGCAGCCGTGCCCTTCTTAGCGTGACAGCGGGACATCCCGATGGTCCGCTTCACCTGTTCACCGCTCAGACGTCCTGATCTTCTGCCTTCCTAGATCATCCAACTGTAACCTGTTTCTGATCATGTGTTTAGTCCCGCTGTAACACTGATGCATCAGTCTCAGACATCATGGAGCTCAGGTGTTATTAGAACTACCTGTGTTTGTTCACCACCCAGCTTCAGCTCTTCTGTGGTTGGGTCTGACCCACGTTAGTAAATGTAAGTCCTCCATCAGGCTTGTGCTTCTAGTGTAATTTTAAAGGATTTTATTTATTTATTTATTTAACCATTACTAGATTAGCAGCAACAGAAATGCTACTAATAACACACAATTATGTGAAGCTGGAAAAATTAAAATGCTGTGCAAAATTACATTTATTTCTGTAATTTAACTAGACTGGGAGACCATTTAAAGGCTCAGGAACCTTTACAGGTGTCTATTTGCAATTTTACATTTTAGCGGATTGGGGTCTTGTTAAATATCACACAGTGACCTTTTAATAGTCTAGATTAGTGTAATGCTCCTGTTAGTAGTTCCTCCTGTTAAGTGCTTGTTTATTTAAATTATTCAGGTTTATAAAAAACATTTGGACATACATTTTATTATGTTCCAGTCATTAGTCATTTATATTTCACTATTGTAGTAATTTATAGTAAATTAAGTTCAATTAACCCATTTTTCTTGCATTCTTTAATGAAAAAAGTAACTAAGTAGTTGTTTTTCTTGGTAATTAGTTACTTTTATAATCTCGTAACTCGGTTAGTAACTGAGTTACTTTTTTGACAAAGTAATTAGTAACTATAACTAATTACTTTTTAAAAGTAACTTTCCCAACACGGGCAATAATTAAGTGTGGTGGGTGTTTTCAGGTGAGAAGCCTTTTCTGTGTGAAGCAGATGGCTGTGGGCGGTCCTTCGCAGAGTACTCCAGTCTACGGAAACACGTGCTGGTGCATTCTGGTGAGAATCTAGTCTCTCCTCTTTTAAATGTACAGATGTATACACCACGCCTTAAAGACGTGGCTTCAGTTCATCTGGTGTCCTGGTTTTCCAGGTGAGAAGCCTCATGTCTGTGGGATCTGTGGGAAGACGTTCTCCCAGTCAGGCAGCAGGAACGTCCACATGAGGAAGAGACACGGAGAGGAGGTGCACGGCAGTGATGGCAGAGAAACAGGTTTGTCTCTCTCTCGCTGGCTAGTCACTGAATTGTGTTGCTTCAGGTAGCACATTTGTCATAAAAAACAACTAAAACTGGAGTTTAAATCATGTGTTTTTCAGAATATAGTTATTTTATTTTTTTATAAGGATTTAGGGGGGGGGGGGGGCTTCGGGGGGGCACAGGCACCCACGGGCCAGGTCTGCCTATTGAATACCGCTGATCTAAACCTTCAGACCTCTGGCTTTTGAATATTACCATAATTTGCGGCATAAACATCACCAACAGCAGCAACAGCGTGTATCAGTTTCAGTGAATAGAGCGGCCAGATATTTCTGCCAGAAGAACAGCTGCTTGATGTTGAGTTACAGCATCAATACCACAATATACTCGTGTGTGTGTGTGTGTGTGTGTGTGTGTGTGTGTGTGTGTGTGTGTGTGTGTGTGTGTGTGTGTGTGTGTGTGTGTGTGTGAGAGAGAGAGAGAGAGAGAGATGGTCAAGGAGTTGGGTTTTGTTATAAAACATGTTACTTTGTTGTTTTCCAAATATCGTTGGTATTTGACTAGGGATGCACCGATATCGGTATCTGCACCGATACTGATACTAGTATCGGTATCTGCACCAATACCGGTATCGGTGCAGATACCGATACGATACTGTTATTGGTATCGGTAAAAGTTAACCGATACCAGGAACCGAAACCGATGCAGTTGCTTGAAAATGGCTTCACTGTAACTTGTCATTTCTGTTCACCTAATATTTTAGTTTTGTGATGATTTCTATTCATATATTTTACTTTTTATCTACCTCACAGTCTTTTCCTGTTGAAAGCGGAGAAGAAAATAAAATCTGTATTCCAAATCATTGCATTTTTGTGTGTTGTAGAAGTATCGGTATCAGTAATCGGTATCGGCGAGTATCCAGAGACAGGTATCGGTATCGTATCGGTTTGGAAAAAAAAGTTGTATCGTTGCATCCCTAATTTGACACACTGTACTGCACCGCAACTGGCTAGAGCTACACATGTGAGATTAGGGGGCGAGACTTGATCTATCGGCCAGTAGTTGCTTCAGCGGGGGGGGGGGGGTGTAACACTTGACTGGTTGGATCAGGTAAGACGTCGATCAAACTTTTGAAAGCAACGTGAATGCATTTGAAGGAAATTTTGTAGGCTTTCAACTGAACTTTATACATATTAGAGGACGTTAACTGGACCCTTGTGGGTGTTTTTACTCTATAATGTGGAGTCTTAAGTGACAACAGCTTTTACTATGTCAACAGTTATGATGGTATCATGTTGCAAAAAGTGTTTCAACGCTCGGTGACTGTGGACACGCAGCTCGTCCAGCGAGAACACAAAATCACAAGAGAATTGCAAGACCACGTTTGAGTTTGCTCATTGATGCGATAACAAAAGAGAAGGACGGCAGCATGTATCCAAAAGGTCTGCAGTTTGTTTTCTGTTCTTTTTAACTTGACCACTGAGGCATCATGAAAAATAACAGGCTTATGTACTGGTGAAGCAACAGGAAATCTGCCCGTGTCTTTTATTTTGAAATTTACTGGATGCTTTACACTGTCCCCGTGTTTGATTTCCTGTTTGAACATTCTGTAAGTGTAGCGCATAAAAAAGAAAAAAAAAAGACTTGCAGCATAAATTTGGTGGCGAGACGCACCACTCCACACCTGGTGGAAACACACCCTGGTATTGATTGGCTGTTGGCTGCATACTGGGCATCTTGGACGTTAAGTGCAGGGTATCCGCGGGTCCTTAAAAAGTCTTAAATTAGCTTTTCCAAATTTAAGGCCTTAAAATCCTTAAAAATGACAAATAATCCTTAAATACAGTTTCCAAAGGTCTTCAATTTTCAAAGACCCAATAAACAAGATTCTTTTATTTCTATAAAATTTTCGTGAATTTCTAGTTAGTATTCAGCATTTTTTGTGTACGATATTGGCGTAAGCGGAACCATACACACTCAGTTGGTTGTGAAAGGGGGCTATTTTAAGATGAGCACGTTAGCTGGTTAAGCTAGTGGGAGCTTGCGCCATGGGGAAGTGCAAGTTTAATGGTAACTGGATGGCTAATCCCACGTTCGCGACGTGGTTAGCACCGGTTCCAGGTAATAGCTGGAAATTATAGCTTAAATTAAATTTAAAAAATAGCTTCAATTTGGTCAAAGTGGCCTTAAAAAAGGTCTTAAAAAGTCTTAAATTTGGCTCCTTTAAACCTGCAGACACCCTGTAAGCGACACTTATGCATCCAGTAGAAAGCCGGGATACCAAGAATACACAGCAGCCCAGATTTTGTCCGTACAAGTCCAAACACCTTCCAGTCTTCACTTCATGAAACACGGAGTAGATTCTCCGGTGCATCTCCCTCCACAACTGGGAATATTTACTCTCATGGTATCATTGTGTCCTCAGATTAAAAGCATCCTTTAATAAGCTCTTTACGCTCGTTGCACAAGATGCTTAAATTCATGTTGGGAAAGAAACGATGACAGCAGACGGCTCATCTCTGCCTCTTGTCATCTTTTCTCCTCTGTAGCAGCAGGGAAGCACCACCGCTGAATCACCACAGGAAATGCTGTCAGAGCTCTAATTATAAACAACAGATTAATTCGGGTCACCCTCCCTGAGGAGGCTGGTCTCTTTAGTAAAAGCAGAACCAGGGAGGATGCAGTTGCACGACAGATGGGTAGTTTCTGTTATGCGTAACAGAACAACAGTGGATTAGTTGTGTTGGACCGCCTGAAGTCATGTTCAGTGTTTATTTTATTTTTTTCATTATTACATTAAAAAGTAGCAAAAGCAAAAGTTCCCATGTGTGTCTGCAGGAGAAGCGCTGACACAAAGCAGCCTGCTGGAGGCAGACGGTGAGGACGGAGGTGGCATGGTCACCATGACAACAACCGTGGAACCGATGAATCTTCATCACGCAATGCTGAGATCACCAGGTAGACCTTTAAACTGACACGTAGGTGCTGGACAGGATTACAGTAAACACTTATTCAGGTGATCAGATGCTGACTCAGCCCGTCGGTGTTTTCACTCGGGAAGTTTCGTTGACTGTTGCTCATCGGTGTGTGTCCAAAATATTTTACTATTGATTCTTTGCCTTGTTTTTAGCGGAGTTTATTGTATTTAAAAGGGTAATAACAGTTCAACCTTTGAAGTGGATGGACTTTACGTTGCTGCCCTAAATACGAGTCCGAATTAAAGTTTTCCATTTAATGTTCTTAAATCATGCCTAGTGAACTAGACCAAATTCTTGCCTTGCAAAGTTGGTCTAGGGACGCTCCATTGGAACCTCTGCAGCCCCTACCAGCATTCTGGCTGGCCAATCACAGCTCTCTATAGTGGTGTCAAACCCGTAGAGTGCTGCTCTCTGCTTAGTAGACCAATCACAACGCTCTATCTGCTTTGTGGGCTAATCAGGGCCCTCTATTCGTCTGGTGGGCGGGATGACACAACAGAGTGGAACAAGATGGCAACAGCTTGTTTGAAACGGCTTTTACATTAATTTTGGACGATTCGGACTCTGGCTTTATTAGGATCAGGAGCAGATGGATGTATTTAAGTACTTTATTTAGAAAAAAAGGATGTATTTTATCCTTCAACAGCGGACTGCTTCGTTTAACATCTGTTGCAGTGAGTACGTCACATTGTTCATTGTCCAGTAGCATGCGGAGAATGTTCGAAAGACAACGGTAGAACCCGCCCCTCGACCGAGAGCCGTGAATGGAGCATAGCCAGACTAAATAATATATTTATTTAGTGTGGCTTGCCAGGCTAGCGGTTACTTAAAGGGATATTTCAGATCTTTTGGTGGGTTTAACTACTCTAATCTGTTAGATTTAATAGCGGTTCTTGTGAACGCTCGAGTCTAGATAAGGGGGTCCAACATTTGTCCAAACAAGGACCAAAATAATTATTTTATGATTTTTTTTTGTTTACTGTTCAAATTCAGTTTTATATTAATAAACTAAACAGAACACCAGTCAGTATCTGGTGTGGCCATCAATTTGTCTCACGCAGTCCATCACATAGAGTAGAGCAGGCCTGTGGAGTGTTGGTCCACTCCTCTTCAGTAGCTGTGTGAAGTTGCTGAATATTGGAGGGAGCCGGAGCAAGCTGTCGCGTACGTCGATCCAGAGCATCCCAAACATTCTCAGTGGAATAGGGATGGGTACCGAATTCGGTACTTTTTAAGGTACTGACCGAATTCCATAGCACCGACTGAGCACCGATTCACGTCATTTGAAACGGTGCCTCGTTTCGGTACCCGTCCTTCATAACGAGAACTTGCCTAGACAGCTGCGCATGCGCAAGAGCGTTATGTCATCGGTCGCTGCGAGCGAGTTGTAAACAGAGCAGCATGGTAGAAAGAACGCACGCTAAAGCTTGGGTCCACTTCACTAAATGTGATGGGTAACTGGGTGATGATGAAACCAGCGACAATGATCTAAGTGAGACATCCTCATCTTAATCTGCTCCGGTAGGTAAATAAAATGTTTAAGATAACGTTAGCTTGATATGTTAGCTTCCGTTCCACTAATGGTGCGTTCGCTTTCTCCTCGGAACTCCGAATTTCCGACTAGAAGAACATGAACGCGCTCTAAAGTTTGGCTTCACTTTACTAAATGTGACGGGTGATTGGGTGAAGATGAAACCAGCGACAACGATCTAAGTGTGAGGCATCATCGTTTTAATCTGCTCCAGCAGCTAAATAAACTGTTTAAGATAACGTTAGCTTGATATGTTAGCTTCCATTGCCGCCATTGTTATCAGCTAATGGTGCGTTCGCTTTCTCCTCGGAAATTCTAACTTCCCAGTAGGAAAAATCAAATGAAAAAGGACGGCAAAAGGAATGAAGATACACAGTAAATTTAGTTCACAGTAAAGATGTTTGCTTCAGTTTAATTATCAGCTTATAAAACTACAAGGACAATGTTAAAATACAAACAGTTGGATGTTATTTATCAAATATGATTATATATTGAGAAAAATATATATTTAATTATAAGAGAATTAAAATATTAAACACTCAAAAGTATCGAAAATTGGTACCGTTAAGTACCGGTATCGATTCCTAGGTACCGGGAATTAGTACTGAATCGATTCAAATGTCAAAGGTACCCATTCCTAGTGGGTGACGTGTTGACGCTGACCGTGCAAGAACAGGGATGTTTTCAGCAGCCATGAATTGTGCACAGATCCTTTCTATCTAGGGCTGTGCGTTATCATGCTTCAGCATGAGCTGATGGTTGTGAATGAATGGCACAACAATGGGTCTCAATAAAATGCACCCGTTTATTTTCCGCCTGCCTATACCAGTACCCTTCCACCACCATGGACCACTCAATCCACAACGTTGATAACAGTAAACCGCTCACCCACACGCCGTCTGCGTTCTGCCCTGAGAAGTGAAAAACCAGGATTTATTCGTGAACAGAACACCTCCAACATGCTAGCGTAGGGTTAGCCAGGCTGTGGATCTGGCCTGTGAGTCTTAAAATCAGGCCATTTCGTGACACAACTAGACGCCACTGAATGTGAGCCTTTTTCCACTTAAGTCTATTAAAATTACATACAGTCAGGTCCAGACCTGATGAGGATGACGAGCATGCATTCGAGCTTCCATGAGACGATTGGCTGAAAGGCTTCGGTTATGCAAATCGATGCTGCAGCTGTCCAGGTGGCAGGTCTCAGATGATCATGGAGGTGAACATCAGGACGCGGAGGTCCTGTGGTCTGGGGTTGTGAGGCTGGCTGGATGTACTGCCAGATTTTCTTAAACGCCTTTGAAGACGGCTTACGGTGGAGAAATGAACATTTATTTCACAGGCAACAGCTCCGGTAGACATTCCTACAGTCCACACGCCGACTGTACGCTCCTTTTAAAGTTGCAGCATCTGTGGCATTATGTTGTGTGATCCGCGCACAATTCATGCTGTCCAACCAGCGCCTTGATAAGCCCCACCTGTGAGGTGGGACAGATTACCTCGGCAAAGGGAATGTGCTCACTGGCAGATTGAGGCCCAGTCCACACGTAGCCGGGTTTTTTAAAAAATGAATATCCGCCCCGCCAAAAACTTGCATCCACACCACCTCGTTAAAAAAAAAAAACTCTGTCCACACGTACCCGGATAAATACGTTGTTAAGGACATGCCAGACCTGTAGGTGGCAGTACTTCCCCCGTTCTTAACCTCGTCCTTCGTCTGTGGTCTTCCGCAAGGAGCAGTAATTCCTCTTGTAAAAACAAACAAGCAAAAAGCGCTTGGACAATTGATAAAGCGAGCGCAGCTCTGAGGGCATCCATGCTGTCGGCTAGTGTAAACACAGGTCGCACACGTGATGTCAGCATTTTTTTGTCGCGGAAAGTGACGTTGTGGACCTTAAAACTCCGGTTTTGTCTGTCCACACGCAGACACCCAAAACGGAGAAAACGCAGATCTTCACTTTGGCCGGAGTTTTTAAAAAGATCCGTTTTCATGTGGATGACAGGCCAAAACGTAGAAAAATATCTACGTTTTGGCAGATCCCCGGCTACGTGTGGACAGGGCCTTAAGACAGATTTGTATTTGGAAGTAATGGGTCTTTTGTGTATTTTAGAAACTGTTTCAGATCTTTGAGTTCAGCTCATAGGAACAAAAACAAAAATGTTGCATTTATATTTATATTCAGTGTGTACACAGGGTATCCGCGGGTCCTTAAAAAGTAAAAAGTCTTAAATTTTCCAAATTTAAGGCCTTGAAAATCCTTAAAAATGACAAATAATCCTTAAATAGTTTCCAAAGGTCTTAAATTACCAAAGACCCAATAAACAAGGTTCTTTTATTTCTATAAAATTTTCGTGAATTTCTATTTAGAATTCAGCATTTCTTGTGTATGATGTTGCCGTAAGCGGAACCGTACACATTCAGTTGGTTGTGAAAGGGGGCTATTTTTAGATGAGCACGTTAGCTGGTTAAGCTAGTGGGAGCTAGCGCCAGGGGGAAGTGCAAGTTTAATGGTAACTGGATGGCTAATCCCACATTCGCCATGTGGTTAGCACCGGTTCCAGGCAATAGCTGGAAATTATAGCTTAAATTTCATTTAAAAATAGCTTAAATTTGGTCAAAGTGGCCTTAAAAAAGGCCTTAAAACGTCTTAAATGTGGCTCCCTTAAACCTGCAGACACCCTGTGTACAGTAATACGAGCTGCAAGCACCGGCACACCACTTTATTGTTTCTGACCTCATCTCACGATCTTTTCCCTGTAGCCTCTGCAGACTCGGTGGTAGTTCTCTCTCAGCCACATGAGCTGGTGACCATGACGACGGAGGGCCATGCTTATGGAGAGGACGTTGTTGCTTTGCTGTAGATCATGGACCAACATCACACACGACCTCTTTCAGCAAGACTCAACAGTCACAGTGAAATAAAAACATAAGACTTCTGTTTGTGACAGACTTTAACACATGTAGATATTTGTAATAAGGAATCCACAATGGTTTAATTTAGATTTTGAAGTTTATTTTATTTTATTTTTTATGAATCCCAAAGAAATACTGAGACGGGTTGGAAGAGTGTATAGAAGATTAAATGCAGTTATTAAATAAAACCCTGCCAAACCAGCTGGTGTTCAGTCAGAATTAAATGTACCACACACACGTCCCGTTTTCCACCGACACCTGAAAGCTTCGCTATGTAAACACTGGTGTTGCACAGCACAACCAGCCTCACAAAGCCGCTGTTCAGGAGTAAAACATCTACTGTAATCAAAGTGCATATCCACTTGTGCTCTGAGCTGAAGGAATTGCTAGATCTAGCCTTTCATCAAGCCTCCATGGCTTCACTTCAGCAGATTAACAGCAGAACATATTGACACTTTAGAGGAAAGTCTTTTAAAACTAAATTTACTCAAGGTTATTTCCGCTTGCTTAAACGAAGTGCTGATGTGTGGAGCGGTTAGAAAAGGCAGAACACGTTACACGTGTTTGATGGCGAGCAGCACATAAATCTTCCTTTTTTATCAGTGCTGTTCAGCGGATCTTCAGGCTTTGGAAGTGGTCCAACATGGCACCCAGAGCCCAACTAGCCTCCACATTGTTCACTTTCTTGGTCAGCTGGGAAAAAAAACAAACAAATCAGATGTTTGCATTTACTAATTTAATAATAATCTAATACAACTGGCTCTTTTGGATCTGATTGCTCGTCTGGTGTCATCACAAACTAACAAAAGAAGGGCAGTGACGTGTCTGGGTGTATTTTATGTCATGAATAGATGCACCAATTTCAGCTCTTGAACAGCTTTTAGCCAGATTTTCATCATACATAACAGTATGCCCACTTTAAAGGAGGTCTAGAACAACATTTAGATTCTTTGAGCCTCCTATGTAACATATACAACTTTGTTGGGGCTCACAATGGCCCAAGAGCCCTGATAAAAGCTCTAGGAGATCTGAGAAATATCTGGGAGGGGAAAATTAGACCAGGGGATATGATGGCTTGGTTCTCAGCTGTTCAGCTCTTTGCTGTGATGTCAGCATATCGCCGCTGCTTCAGCAGTGAGTGAGGTCACTGATCAGCGCCAAAAGGTGCCCATGGACTTTAATAAGGGTAAAAGCTTCATTCTGTCAAAGTGCATCATCATTAAATCTATCTGGGACTGGAACAGCGGCTGAGTAAAATGTGGTGTTCAAAGACCAGAAGAAGCCCAGTTTCTTCGGTGCTCTGTGAGGAAAAAGCCTCATGAATTGTCATTTTTAGGGGATTTTAAGTAACAGCGATTTTAAAACTATGTGAAAACACTGGTTAATTTATTTTCTGTCCATTATTTTTCTACGGAAGAGGATTAGGGTTACTGACAACAGTGATGCTGTCTGAAACTCAACCCTGTACAGCCGTGTCTGGCGTTCATCTGAAGTCTGGATACCCGAGGACATCCTTTAACATTACATGCGTCCTCCCAAGATTCTGCTCTGTTGTTTTCTTCTCATCCAACGGGGACATTGGCAGTAGCTCTGGCAAGCTTTCAGAGGTTAGCATTCCTGCCACCAATATTTATGTATTGCTGTTGAAGTGGGTTGGGACCAGGTAATTTAAAGGTGTGGTACACTCATAATAAACCAGCTTTTCTCACAATGAACTGCTTCTAGGTGACCATTGTAAATTTACATAGAAAAGCAGGTTGAAGGTAGCCTAGCGAACTAGACCAAATTCTTGCTTTGCAAAGTTTGGTCCAGGAACGCTCCACTGGAACCTCTGCAGCCCCTAACAGCATTCTGGCTGGCCAATCACAGCTCTCTAGAGGGGTTTCAAACACATAAAGAGCTGTGATTGGTCCATAATGGTGGGCCAATCATAGTGCTCTATCTGTTTAGTGAACAAATCACAGAGTTTTATCTGCTTTGTGGGCCAATCAGGGCACTCCATATGCCTGGTGGGTGGGATGATGCAACAGTGAAACAAGATGGCGACAGCTCGTTTGAAACGGCTTTTACGTCAATTTTGGATTATTAGAACTTGGGCTTCATTAGAATCAGGAGCAGATAGATGTATTTAAGTGCTTTTTGCTTCTTTTTTTTTTTTTTTTTAGAAAAAAAAAATGTTTTCTCCTTCTTCAATTGCGGACCGCCTCATTTACCGATGGCTGTTGCGGTGAGTATGTCACATTCATTATCCAGTAGCATGCGGAGATCATTTGAAAGACAACGGTAGAACCCGCCCCACAACCGAGAGCCGTCAATGGAGCGTTACCAGACTAAATAACACGTTTATTTAGTCTGGCTTGCCAGGCTAGGTTGAAGGCAGCACAGATATTTTTGATATGCTACATTAGACACCCCAAGCTGCCTACATAAATGCAGTTTTGAAATCTAAAACCACTTCCAAAAGACTAAAAATAATAACCCTAGAAATAAAAATGTCCACATGCCAGGTCTTTTTCTATATTGAAGTACAAATTAAAGAGCAAGTCACCCCCAAATCAACTTTTTTTTGATTATAAACTAAATAAGCGAGTGTCCAATCGTGCTGTAGACACGTGTCGTCAATAATGTGACACTTTAGTGCATCTTAGTTAAAATTTAAATATTCTGCCTAAAACTGTCAGTGTGGTGCCATTGTCAGGTAAAAACTCTGCACTGTATTTGAATTTAAATCTGCCACCGCTATTGGCTAAGAAGTATGCTATGATGTAAACTGGTACCTTATGATGTCACAATGCTGTCGTGAGCCTGTGTGTGTGTGTATTTGTTAGCGGCTCTGCCCTCTCGGTCTGCCAGGCAACAGCATTTGTTGCATTTTTCAAACATGAAGTGGGAGTGGAGTTAGACTCTGGTAGGGGGTGACTTGCTCTTTAACGATGGCTAGACTCACAGATCAGGAAACATGTTTGTTCAAGAACCCTGTCCAAAAAACCTTAAATGAGTCCAATCTAAGTCACATTCCTGCATTTTTTTAAACCAACTCCCCATGTAGCCAGAATACTGGCGGGTCGCTCTAGACTGAACACAGCTTATTTGTTTAATTTAGTGACGAATTGCTCTTATAGACGCTAACGCCGGTTTTACGCTGGAAGCATCGGCGGCGCGAAACGGCAGCAGAACGGTTTACTCGCAAACTTCAATGCACTGCCTCTCTCTCTGCTGCTAAAGCTACGGATAGCAAATGCTAAGGGCTATGCCTGAGCGTGAACGCGCATGAAGCAGCCTGCTCGACCCGAGCATCTCTCTTTTTCTGTGATTTTACAGAAAAACAGGCAATCACAGTAAAAATGCCAGGGCTCATTCTACAGGACCAGGGCATTGCAGGAGAATGTATGAAGAAGACATTTATTATTTCTATACGTTTTGGCTGTCAAACCTCCATAATGCCCCTTTAAGGAAAAAAAAAAGTCATGGCCCTGTTTTGTACAGTGTGCTAAAAATAGCCTGCCTCTGAGAAAGCCTTTACTTCCTGCCACATGACTCAAGAAACACCTAGCCTAAATAGCTGCTTCATTAGTTTAAAACACCTCACAGCTGGATGTGCAAGTCTCCATACTGATGGTGCTGTAAACTCGGCCTCACCTGCAGCACCGTGCTGTCCTTGAACCCAAAGCCATCCTTCAGCAGACAGGTGATGTAGGCCAGGTCCATGCACAGGAACGAACTGATGGGCGGAAACTTGGTCATCTTATTGCACACTGATCAGGGGGACAAGACAAATCATGTCTGTTAGCTTGGATAATCAGTCATTTGTATTCTGCTGACAGACGAGGTCAGCATTTCCCTCAAGGTCCATTGAGATGCACGCTGTATTCCAAGCCCAAGTAGCAGCAGATATGTCACAGTAATGATGTATTCATCTGCTCGCCTCACCCTCTTTAGCCCTCTTCTTGAAGTCTCTGACCTGCAGCATCCCTCCTTGTGCTCCACCTGAAACACGAGGGGGTCGGTATATACATAAAAAAGCCAAAACGGTAATTACAAAAGCGCACCTCTGTGCACAATTTCGTAGCACTAATAACAGAGCTGATGGCCTTTCAGCACAGACCGATGGAGGGATAGCAATTTCTATAATGCCTACATGAGTACAGCTCATCAAATCCCCTGATACAGCAGCAGATGACTCACATTTTTCTCCCCCTGTCTAGGTTTGTATAATTATAAGGTGTGGACAGGAGGTGTGTGTGTGTTTGTGTGCTCGCTAACCGATAAGACCCGCGTCCACAGCTCTGTCAAAGTAATAGGAGAAGGCAAAGAAAACGTTGCTGTCTTCCAGCTCACACGGCTGATGAATAATCCCCTTCACCACCTTAAGTACTTCCTGATAACAATGCTTGTATCCAGCGTGACCTGCGAGGAAAAACAGAGACAAGCGTGTAAATTATTCATCTCCTCTCAGAGCATTGGAATCAATAGTGTAATTTAACTGGTGTTTTGATGTATTTTGCTAGAAATTGACTGCTAATGCTCGCTTGTGATTTGAATTTGAAGTTTAAATCAAAACTCAAAGGTCGTTTGGACACTTGTGGACGAGGTCTCACCATCTGGGTCTCCGCTCACTTGATAGGTTAGTCCTCCGAAGCTCCACTCATCCCTAAACTTGTTGGGGAGGCAGGAGCTTTTAAAGACATGCCACTCCAACCCTGTGTGAGAACAGACACGATTAATCTTCTAGTTGCTTCAACAGCTCATCGTGGGTGGACATGAATTTCTGCAGTGATTAATCTCATGGTATTCATTTGGAAACTGGAATGACATTCCTAAGATCTTATAGAAACAATGCCGGCGTGATTGTACGATGCACGTTACCTTCCACACCCAGAGCGCCCAGAGCGGCGAGTCGGGCTGCCATTATTCCGTTTCCGAGATAACTGTGAGGAAATCAGAGGAAGACGGTTATAAAACTGAGCAGGGAGAGACACAATAAATAGGTCATTCTGAAAACAGGCTACAGGAGCCCTGTCTGCCTGTTATTCACATCATAATGATGGAGCCGACACCACAAGCTGTCCCAATTATAAACGCGTCCAAATGCAGCTGGAAAAGGAATAATTGGATCATTAAAAGGAGTTTTTTAATTCACAGAAATGTGAGAAAGTACAACTACAACAGCGTCTTAAGCAAGTTACTTTCGGAGTTGGCTATGGTAATGGTAAAGACGGCCTGCCATCTTGGTTTTGCCACGTGTTGATGTGGGTTCGAATCCTGATGGTGTTGGTACCAGATCGGCTTGGGGTCCTGCGCCTGCGGATGACGTCACATTACGGCAAGTCCACTCGGCTTTCACACGTAAGTTTTGGGAATAAATCAGCAGTTTAGTTAATAAAGTCTTGTTGGCCACCACCTAAATGTTTAGGCCTTGAAAACCCTAACCCTAACCCTATGATTTATTATCTATATTTTGGACTAGAGGAGTACAACCGCTAAGACCACAACCGTAAATTCGTTCTGACCAATCAAAATCTTCACTGTCGACGTGCTAATGTAACTTTTACGAATGTGGTACTGTAACTCCCGTAAGGCTTACGTTCAGCCAATCATCTACTGTGACGTATTTGGCAGAAGCAGGACCCCGAGCCGACCTGGTACAGACACCGGCTGTGATTTATTTAGCCAGCTGAAGCAGATTTCATCTTTTTATGTTTTAGTTTTGATTATTTACTGCAAAATATTTTGTGTCTCTAAAGACCTTTGAATTGGGTCATTTCCAAGCAGCACTTTAGTTGATTTACTCTGCTCACCTCACATGGACTCACGCTGGCTAAATAAACAAAAAAGCAAAAAAAAAAAAAAATAAATAAAACCTATTCGTCCTTATGTTTTAAACGGTTTACCAATAAAGGTTTGAAAACATCATACAGCCAAGCGAGGTGCAGCAGTGGCAGTTGCCGAGGCAAAATCTCGGGCGTGGGAGGAGTTTGGTGAGGCCATGGAGAAAGACTATCGATCGGCTCCAAAGAGGTTCTGGCAAACTGTCCGGCGCCTCAGGAGAGGAAGGCGGCAACTCGCTCACACTGTTTACAGTGGGGATGGGGAGCTGCTGACGTCAACTGAGGCTATAGTCGGACGGTGGAAGGAATACTTTGAGGAGTTCCTCAATCGCACCTATGCACATTCCGAGGAGGAACCAGAGTCGGGAGACCTGGGGGTGGACTGTCCAATCTCTGGGGCAGAAGTTGCTGAGGTAGTCAAACAACTACACAGCGGCGGAGCCCCGGGGGCGGATGAGGTTCGTCCTGGGTATCTCAAGGCTATGGATGTTGTAGGGCTGTCATGGTTGACACGTCTCTGCAACATTGCGTGGTCATCGGGGGCAGTTCCTGTGGAGTGGCAGACCGGGGTGGTGGTCCCCATCTTTAAGAAGGTTGACTTGAGGGTGTGTTCCAACTATAGGGGGATCACACTCCTCAGCCTCCCTGGAAAGGTCTACTCCAAGGTACTGGAGGTCCGATCGATAGTTGAATCTCAGATAGAGGAGGAGCAATGTGGTTTTCGTCCTGGCCGTGGAACTGTGGACCAGCTCTATACCCTTGCAAGGGTGATGGAGGGGGCATGGGAGTTTGCCCAACCAATCCACGTGTTTTGTAGATTTGGAGAAGGCTTATGACCGTGTCCCAAGGGGCACCCTGTGGGGGACGCTCCAGGAGTATGGGGTGGGTGGCTTTCTGTTAAGGGCCATTCAGTCCCTTTACCAGAGGAGCATGAGTTTGGTCCGCATAGCCGGTAGTAAGTCGGACCTGTTCCCGGTGAGAGTTGGACTCCGCCAGGGCTGCCCTTTGTCAACGGTTCTGTTCATTACCTTTATGGACAGAATTTCTAGGCGCAGCCGTGGTGTGGAGTGTGTCGAGTTTGGTGGCAGGAGAATCTCGTCTCTGCTTTTTGCGGATGATGTGGTCCTCCTAGCTTCATCCAGCTCTGACCTTCAGCTCTTGCTGGGTAGGTTCGCAGCCGAGTGTGAAGCGGCTGGGATGAGGATCAGCACCTCCAAATCTGAGACCATGGTTCTCGACCTGGAAAGGGTGGCTTGCCAACTCCGGGTCGGGGGAGAGGTCCTACCTCAAGTGGAGGAGTTTCAGTATCTCGAGGTCTTGTTCGCGAGTGAGGGTAGGAGGGATCGGGAAATCGACAGGCGGATTGGTTCGGCGTCAGCAGTGATGCGGACGCTGAGCCGATCCGTCGTGGTGAAGAGGGAGCTGAGCCAGAAAGCCAGGCTCTCGATTTACCGGTCGATCTACGTCCCAATCCTCACCTATGGTCATGAGCTTTGGGTAATGACCGAAAGAACGAGATCGCGGATACAAGCGGCCGAAATGAGTTTCCTCCGTAGGGTGGCTGGACTCAGCCTTAGAGATAGGGTGAGGAGCTCGGACATTCGGGAGGGACTCTGAGTAGAACCGCTGCTCCTCCGGATCGAAAGGAGTCAGTTGAGGTGGTTTGGGCATCTGGTCAGGATGCCTCCTGGATGCCTCCCTGGGGAGGTGTTTCGGGCATGTCCTGCCGGCAGGAGACCCCGGGTCGACCCAGGACACGTTGGAGAGGTTACATCTCCAATCTGGTCCGGGAACACCTTGGGGTCCTGCTGGAGGAGCTGGTGGAGAAGGCCGGGAAGAGAGGACGGTCTGGAGCTCCCTAGTTGGGATGCTGCCCCCGCGACCCGGACCCGGATAAGCGGAGGAAGACGACGACGACGACATCATACTGGCAGCTAAAAAAAGTTACTGCTCAGACCGGGATGTGACCCTGCGTACCAGCGCAGCACACTGACTACTACTACCAAGTCTGCTGTGCTGGCTGAGGGAGATGGGTTTCAGACTAGAGACTAGCTTCCAGAGGAGCAGGGCCTGGTGCTGGGAGCAAGAAGATGGAGTGATGTACAACTTATACGTTAGGCCATTTCAGAACTTTCAAAATAAAACTCTAAATTTGCAACTGAAATAGGAAAATGCATGAATGCAGCCAAAAATGGGTTGGGAGGAATTTTACATGAGGAAAAAACAGCATTACGTGCTCAAATGCTCCAAAATGTGGATTTTCCATGATATGGCCCCTAACCATGTGAGCTTAACGCTCTCATTCACTCGTTTTTTTTTTCTGTTTAACTTTGCTGTAGCATGAACAAATGCTTTGGGAGTCATTCTCTGTCATAAAAAAGTTCTGGCGCTCCTGTTTCAGGAAGCTGAAGAGAAAAGTAGGGGAGCAGAAAACGGCAGGATTTGGAGTCTTTCTCATTAGTACTCATGATATACAAAGCTTCTGATTGGCTAACAGCAATGCTGGGTGTGGCAGGTGAGTCTCAACTCTGCTTCCCCCCAAAATCCAGTAAATCCCATTTAATTCACGATTAAATAACTTTTCCACAGCGCTGCAGAATAAAATGGCTTTAAAAATGGAATACATCAAGAAAAGAATCTGACCACATTTAATGAGACATCCATCATTTATCAGATCCTGTACCTGTGAGAGTATAACTCAAATGTCGAGTTGAAGAAGTCTAATCTGGCAACAAAATCAGCGACAGGAGCAGTCTCAACGGTCTTCTGCGGCGGAATATTAACAACCTGGTGAGTTAATAATCTCCCGACTTGAATTTTTCAAAAGATCTTCAAAGATTCAGACAGGCGTCCGACCTTCAGTTTAGGCAGGAACGTGATCTGAGTGGACCCTCCGCCCAAATCCAATATCCCCACCGTCTTCTTGGTATTTGCATTCAGATGACCTGAAAATAAAAAAAAATAGAAACATTTCCCATCTTAAACCAGCATACCGTCATGAGTGGAGCTAATCGGTTACACCTGAGATGCCATCTTCAAAAGGCCTTCTTGGTAAACATAAACCAAGAAGCAGAACATTCTAGATCACAGCAAAGGCCTTTAGGCGAGGAGTCTGTAGCTGCTCTCGTATCAGAGGACGAAGCCGCCTGTTTCATCAGGAGTGTTTTGTGTGTAGAAGTGAATCAACAAAACTTACCTGTCAGAAAGTTGAGAGAAATCCAAGCCAGGATCCCTACATGTGCAACATTAGCAAAAAAAAAAAAAAAAAAAAAAAAAGGCATGGGTAAAGCTAAAAAGCTGACACATCAGTGACACACTCGCACAGCAAACACATAACTATGCGTTTTGGGGTTTAAATGACTTAGTCATAAAAGGAAACCCGTAAAAACATTTATAATAGACTGTCATTTTGTTGAAACGCTTGATTAGGCAAGAACGCTAAACGTCCAGGACAGGTGACAGACGTGTTGATGGAGGGTGGGCAGACGTCACCTTCGTTTGTGCCGTCCATGATGCTGACGCTGTTGTCTGGGACCAGAAAGGGAGACTCATCAAACACGTGTTGAACCTGAGGAGAGGACAGAGACAGCAGTGAGAGGA